TCACGCCTCGAGGACTCGACCCGGAGAGGAGGCACAGGTGAGCTAGAAGACCCACCGGTATCAAGACAACCACCTTTAAGTATGACCTTTGGGCTATCTGCTCTATTAGTGTTATCACTAACTTCTGATCTCAGATGAGCGAGAGTATAGCCGCTTAAACAGGCACTATGCTCCAGAGGGTTCAGCCACTCTGACCGGTGATCAGTGTCGATCAGCAGCTCTATTAGTAAGCAGAGCCACTGGGTACTGCAGTATCAGGAGTCGGTTTGTCTGGGTGGTTGACCTCTGCTCCTCTGTCTCCTCAGGGTTTTGTTATCGAGCTGCTGCTGACTCTTGAGTCAGGGATCGACACGCTCGCTGACACTGTCAAGAACTATGACCTCCTCACTGCCTTGGCACAGTAAGCACTGACCAGTTAGATCTGGGCAATTCCACGTTAACTGACAATCAGACTCCAATTTTTCACATTAAAATGTATGTCTAACAAAAAACAATGATTGCGAAGTTAAACAAACCATACAACTTTTGTATTATTTTCAATGGACATTGTCACACTGTTACTGTGGAATTGCCCATCTCTAATACAACACCCTTTTCTCAACTCACACTCTCTAAACACAGATTATCGACACTTTAAAACCCTGTGTTAGTGAAATACTCAGATTGTCATTTCTTATCCTGCAGGGCCTCTGCCCATGAGCACCTGCTGGGGGCCAAGTTTGCAGCCAATAGGAAGAGCACGGGCCAGCTGAACCTGAGTAGCGGTGGTCTGTTCCACCACGGCCACTACCCCCACAGCCACACCCGTAGCAACTCCCTCCGCGCTAGTCTCATGGGTGAACGTAAGGGAGACCGTCGCCGCAGTAACACCCTAGACATCGCTGACCGGCTGGCCGGTAGCCACGGCAACCTAGCCCGAACGCAGAGCTTGTCGTCGTTGCGGGAGGGTGGCGGAGGGGGTCCTGGGGAGGAGGCCATCCCTCCTGTGGACCCATCCAACCTGATGGCTACGGTGTTCTGGATAGCAGCCTCCCTCCTGGAGTCGGACTATGAGTTTGAGTACCTGCTGGCCCTGCGGCTGCTCAACAAGCTACTGGGCCAGCTGCCCCTGGAGAACGCAGACAGCAGGGAGAGGCTGGAGAGGGTGCAGGCCAAGCTGAAATGGTACAGCTTCCCTGGTCTGCTGCAACTCTTCCTCAAGGGCTTCACCTCAGCCTCCACCCAGGAGCTCACCATCCACCTGCTCAGCAAGCTCATCAGCGTCTCCCGCCACACTCTGGTCGACCCCTCCCAGGTGGCAGGTAAGAGAGCAGGTATTGATCTTATTCATTTTATCCAGCTTCGTGCTTGGTAAATGCCACTAATCCCCCTAGAGCTTGCTGATGGGTCTAGACCTGTTTCTCTTTCAGTGTTAGCTCAGGCCATCTAGATTCACTTGATCCTGATGTCTGTTGCCGTCTCCTTGTAGGTTTTCCTCTGAACATCCTGTGCCTGCTGCCTCACCTCATCCAGCACTTTGACAGCCCCACTCCGTTCTGCAAGGAGACGGCTGATAAGATAGCCACGGTGTGTGCCGAGGAGAAGTCAGCCACGCTGTCTAACCTGGCCCACATGATGAGCCTGTACAGCACACACAGCTACTCCAGAGACTGCACCAACTGGATCAACGTGGTGTGTCGTTACCTACATGACGCCTTCGCTGAGATCACCTTCAATCTGGTCACATACCTGGCCGAGGTAAGCACCCGCAACACCAGGCTTTCATAGCAGTAATGAGGAGAATCAAATCTGCCAACTTATTACATAGTCAGCCTACATTACAACCACTGGTTAACCTCCATTTACAGTAGCTTGTGTTTTTTTTATTATGACAAGTCAGCAGAGTTGATTATTGATCAGCTGGTAATCAGATGTCCAACATCTAACCCATGCCAGCTGCTGTGAGAGACAGTTCCTAACCCTTCCTCTCTCACCCCCAGCTGCTGGAGAAAGGCCTACCCAGCATGCAGCAGTCCCTGCTACAGATCATCTACAGCCTGCTGAGTCACATTGACCTGTCGGCTGCACCTGTCAAACAGTTCAATCTGGAGATCATGAAGATCATCGGCAAATATGTCCAGGTGAGACCTGGTTTCGCCCTTTAGATTTCAGCTCAACTCTGACACTGTTTAGGCCTCGTCTCTGAGAGGGCGAGAGAAGAATGAATGGGAATTGGCTGATACAGGAATATACTGTATGTGTCGCGTGGCTCTTTCATTTCTGCAGATACAGCCTTTGGTGTGTAAGAGAGTGAATATGTGAGGGGGAAAAGCCAGAATGACTCCCTCTCTACAGAGTGACGCACTTGAAGATTAAAGCAGGTCATGGATCTCAGGCCATTTGGACATAGTCAGCCAGCCAAGGCTCTTTATAGAAGAGCCTTTTACCAGCCCTGACCCCTGGGCTTTAAATGCTCTTCAGTCAGAGCTGCAGCTGGCCTGATTACCACTCTTACTCTCCCCCACTCAGCCTGAGGACAATTCTCCACTCACCGACCTCAACAGCAGTGTGTGCTTTTGTACTTTTTTATTATTTTGTTAGTGTGCATGTATGTGTTTGAATAGAGACTATTAATTCAGAGTTCTTTCAAGGTTGCTTGTAAGGGATGTCAGCCTGGTCCGAGTAGGATGGAATACGCTGACCCTCAACGCAGGGGCCCCACAGGGGTGTGCGCTTAGACCCCTCTTGTACTCCCTGTTCACCCACGACTATGTGGTCATGCACGACTCCCAACACCATCATCAAGTTTGCTAACGACACGATGTTGGTAGGCCTGATCACCGGCACCGATGAGAGGAGGTCAGTGACCTGGGATAACAACCTCTCCCACAACGACAGTAAGACCAAGGAGCTGATGGTGGAATAAAGGAAAGGGAGTCGGTCGATAGAACTTAAAGTTCCTCTGTGTCCAAATCACTAAGGACTTAAAATGGTTCGCTCACGCGCACATCATGAAGGCGCCACAGCGTCTCTTCCCCTTCAGGAAGTTGAAAAGGTTTGGTATGGACCCTCAAATCCTAAAAGTTCTACAGCAGCACAATTGAGAGCATCTTGACTGGCTGCATCTCTGCCTGGTATGGAACAGCACCGCTCCTCAATCACATGGCCCTACAGAGGGTGGTGCGGACAGCCCAGTACATCATTGGGGCCAAGCTCCCTGCCATCCAGGACCTCTGTCTCTGTCAGGCGGTGTGAAAGGAATGCCCGGAAAATCGTTAGACTCCAGCCACCAAAGCCATAGACTGTTCTCTCTGCTTCCGCAAGTGGTACCGGTGCATCAAGTCAGACACCAACAGGCTCCTGAACAGCTTCTATCCCCAAGCCATAAGACTGCTGAATAGCTAACAGAATGGCTACACAGACTATCTGAGTTGACCCTTGTATTTTATTTTTACACTGTCTCTATGCACACTCACAGGACTCTACACAGTCACGCACACTGACACTCCAACACACACAGAACATGCACACACAAATATACTGACTCTACACACACAAACACACACTGACATGCAATCGTAATTTATGCTGCTGCTACTCTGTTTATCAAACATCCTAATGCCTAGTCACTTTACCCCTATACATATCTACCGCTATCACTCCAGTATCTCTGCACATTGTAAATATGGTATTGGTACTGACCCTGTATATAGCTCTTATTTTTATTTGTTTGTTCTACCTTGTTATTTGTAGTACTACATTCATATTGATTACTGCAAAGGTTGGGTTTGGAGCTTGCAAGAAAGGCATTTCACTGTACTTGTGCATGTGACATTAAAACTTGAAATAGAAAATGGGATACAGTATCATAGGGGCACTGACTGTAGACATGTTGTTTCTTCACATCTGTGGATAGGCCTAGAATTGGATGGTGTTTTGGGAAAGAACAAGAGGTTTGAGATGAAAGACAATATATTTCTTAACTTTCCTAGAACTGAGGGGTCCTTCTAAAACCATTAAATCCTCTCCTATTGAGAATCTAACCAACACCACCTCTGTTCCCCAGAGCCCGTACTGGAAGGAGGCCCAGAACATCCTGAAGCTGGTGGTGTCTCGGTCGGCCAGCCTGGTGGTGCCAGACGAGGTGCAGCGCTCCTACAGCACAGAGTCCTCTGGATCCCCAGAGATCGCCTTCACTCGCATCTTCAACAACTCCTCTAAGGAGCTGCCCGGCAAGACGCTGGACTTCCACTTCGACATCTCAGAGGTGAAGTCTTGCCTGTGTAAATTGATGTTTTTAAACTATTGTGCTTTGTGTTTTATGTTGTAACATGTCTTTGTATAAAACTTTATCTGCTGCTATTTTGGCCTGGTCTCTCTTATAGAAAATATTTGTAATCTCAATGAGACTAACCTGGTCAAATAAATGGAAGTACAAAAAAGTATCTTTCTCGGACATCTGTCCTGACCTGCTTCCTCTTGTTATCTTTTCGTCCTTCTCCGATTCAGTTTTTTCACTCTTTCCATGTTTCTCTCACTCATCTTTTACCCCTACCTTTTTATCAGAAAATAATCAGACCTGTATAATCGAGATTAACTGGTTTAACCTTTGACCCCCAGACGCCCATCATAGGGCAAAAGTACGGGGACCAGCGCACAGCTGCAGGGCGGAATGGGAAGCCGCAAGTCATCGCTGTGACCCGGAGCACGTCCTCCACCTCCTCTGGATCCAACTCCAACGGCCTGGTGCCCGTCAGCTGGAAGAGGCCCCAACTCTCTCAGGTACTTTCAGCCACGGGATATGTTACAATGTGGTTTGATATGTTTAACATTGAAATGTCTTATGCATTTTTTTTGTTAATGTTGTCTTATTTCAGAGGAGAACCAGAGAAAAGCTCATGAACGTTCTCTCTCTGTGTGGTCCTGAGTCTGGCGTTCCCAAGAATCCTTCTGTAAGACACCTGGCATGTCAAACTGTGAGCGAGCATGACTAGTGATCAACTTCAGAAAAATATATCCCATCCCTCCATGTGGTTATTGAACATGTTTACCATAACTGTACTATCTCTGTCTGTGTTTAGGTGGTGTTCTCATCCAACGAGGACCTGGACTCAGGTGATCAGCAAACCAGTTTGATCCCCACGGTGGAGGAGGTGGTGAGGGAGGAGGACATGCAGGGAGAGGATGCAGGAAGTGAGCAGCAGTTTGGAGTCTTCAAGGACTTTGATTTCCTGGACGTGGAGCTGGAGGATGCTGAGGTGAGGGGTGATTTACTGTACACTAGGAGAAGTCATCTGTACACACACACATATTTTTAATGTCTTGCATATGATCATTTGCAATAGTTGCTCTGCTATTGCATCATTTCAGATCATGTTGTGATGGGTGACAGTAAATGGTTTCATTCAGTGTGTGATTGTGTGCTCGTGCACTCAAGTACGTTTGAGTGTGTGTCTTAACGTTTGTGCGAGTGTGTATACAGGTCTTGGTATGACTTTTCTTCCATGTTGTCCTCTAACTGTCCCCACTGCCTACTTTTCCTAACTCACATGTTACCTTTCCTCTTTTCCTGCCACAAGGAGTTGCAGGTAAGTTTTGGGCCAGCAGGAGCTTTTTAAAGCTGCTCTCCTCAGTGCCCTGGTGTCCCTCTGTCAGTCATGTGATTGTCATCCTGTAGAAGCACCTGTTTTGTCAGTCTAGAAACAGGCAGCCAATGAAGCATGCCACAAATACTTGTAGTTTCATGATCGATGTAGTCTGCACTTTGTCCTGATTTCCCTCCTCTGTGCTTTTATTTCGTTTAAAAGTAAGTTTTGCAGCTCTATGTCCGAAGTGATAAGGGTCAAACAGCCTTCGAGAAAAGGCGTTGTTTCCTCCACTTCCCATTACTGCAAACACAGCTCTTTAGATGTGGCATGTTAGTGGCATGTTGTGATCCATCCACATTTTCGACAGCTATCTCAAACTTCAGTTAGTTCTACTGGAATCTAACTGCTGTTTCCTTGGGTGCCCTGTAGGGGGAGAGCATGGACAACTTTAACTGGGGCGTACGTCGGCGCTCCCTGGACAGCATGGACAAGGGGGAGGGAGACGGGGACACGCCATCCCTGCAGGAGTGCCAGTACACCGGGAGCACGCCCAGCCTCAACCTCACCAACCAGGAGGACACGGACGAGTCCTCTGAGGAGGAGGTACTGAGCGCTAGCCAGATTCTCACCCGCTCTGGCCTCGTAAGTCTCACCCACCACCAGGGTGCCCCTCTCCCCCTCCTGCCCCCATGCTCCTCACACAGCCCGTTGGCATGGTGTGTGTGTGTGTGTGTGTGCGTCGGCTGAGCAGAGCTACTACCTCACCTGGTATGGCCTGGGGCTAGACGCTTGCTTCCGCTGGTAACAGTCACTATTTCCCTCCCTGCCCCCCTTCACCCCAATCCTAGATGCTCTACCCTAATTTTACCCACAAACCAGTACCCCCTTCCCCCAGAAGTTTGTTTTTAGGTAAGTAAAGTAGAGACACAAACTGTACTTCTAAGAATCAGTCCAGTTCAGCTTTCTGATATGTTTAGGTCACAGACATAATATGTATGTGAATCAATGAACTAACTGGGAGGTTAGCTACAATAAAGTGAAACTCAAAGGAGTCTATAGCATGCCTGGTCAAAAACCTATTCAGTCAAGTTACAACTGGCATCAAATTAACAGCATGTTCCTTTGTGAGCATGAACCGAATATCATTTTAACCCCCAAACCTCTGGCTGCCTTTCTCTAACATCTCTTTGCTTTGCTAAAACAAAAGTATTCCCAGGCTGTTATCAACAATATGCTGTTATTCCTAGAGCTGCTCTTCAGTCTATGCTGTACTCTTATTCCTCCTTTGCGCTTGATATTGCACTGTGCGAGTGAGACTGTGCTTCTAATGGCCCTTGGGCCCAAAGACAGATCTGTAGTCACTTTTAAGCAATGCTACCATGAGCATGCAGCATGTCATTTGCAGACAGAATAATGTGATAGCTTTTCGAATAACAAGAATGTTTTGTAATAATGCCTGGAATATAGCAGATATTTTTTATTGGTAAACATCTTACTCTTGTATGCAAAAAATTCAGTTTAATGTTTTTTTAAATAACAAAAATACACTAGCAGATATCCTGGAGACTTGGAGCAGAGGACCATATAATATCAGAGATATTTCATTTAGTATTTACTATCTAGTTCCAAATGGAAAAGTTTAACCGTTCTTTGCGTCCGTCTCTCACTCCAGATGAACAGTGACTCGGCTACGGACGATACCACGTCCAACCACGTGGACTCTCTGCAGCAATCCCAGGAGTCGTCCAGCAGTGCCCTGACAGAGGAGACCACGGCCCTGCTGCCCCGCCTGGACAGCCCTGCACTGGAGATGCCCCGCTCTGACTCAATCAACAGTCAGCTGCCTGAGGTGCGACCAATCGGGATAAATAAATTGGGGTGCTCCGGCTCTTTCTAGCTCCTTATCCTCCTCTTTTAACCACTTTCTACCTCTGCTGCGCTCTCTGGGTCACTCGTTTTTCACGCAGAGGGTTGGTGGCCTCCTCCTCTCTCTGTCTGTCTCTAGGGAGAGAGCTGTACCTGGGGTGCAGTGGGCTGGCTCTTGTCCTGCCTGTTCTCTGGACAGAGCAGTAAGGGGTGCTCTCTTTCTTCATATCTCCCTCTCCGTCATCTCTTTCTCTCCGCTTGTCGTGCTGCTCTAGGCTCGTGGGTGCTGTGGTGGGCTAGCTCTTGCTTTCTCTGATTTTAACTGGTTCGTGGTTTTTGCTTGTGTAATTGGGGGAAGAGATCATCGTCAATGCTCACCTCAGGCTAGCCGAAACTGTTCACCTCTCAATTTGGAACCAGAACATTAAAAACGAAACCCCTCGTTAAATACCTGCTGAGCATTGGACACCAGCGGGGCAGACCCATATGTGAGTATGAACTAGTTAAGTCAGCTACACTAGAGAGCATTGTGAAACGACACAGAGACATGCATTAGATATAACCAGTGAGAACAGTTAACCAGGGAACACAATCAGGTAACCCATACTAACATGTAGTCACTAACAGCTTCCATTAGTCCATTATCTACCACTACTAACCTGTGGAACTAACCATGGTGAGGATGCACTCTTGCTCAACACCTCTTCCACACAATGTATAGTTCTGTCTTTAGGTTTTGTGTTGATAGTATGCTGCTCATGTTTGTCCCCGACGACCCCATTCTGAATTGACTGTCTCATACACACTGACACAGGACATACACTTGCGGATTGTGCGAGTGAAACTGAGAGATGGGATATTCAACGGGGGCTGTTCAGTCAGAAAGAACACCCCGTCTTTTCCCCAGTAATGTGAATTGAGCTTCCCTAGGATCTCACTGCCCATACCCATCAGCTCAAGGACATCTCCCCCATGATGAGCCCAGCTTTTAGTGTAATGAGCGCCAGATAAAACCATCAATTCTCTTACTCATCCCCTCCATGACGGCCCGGACGGCCACCCACTCCTAAAAGCTTTCCATAATAAAGCCACAGTGACGCACTGGCAGCCTGCCACACTCTCCTCTCTTAATGCATTAGACTCTTAAATAGAGGGAAACAAGGCACAGAAAGAACAAGTCCTTTCAATGACATGTTCTAGATCCCCCTGTACTCCCCTCCTCCCTCCGTGGACGTGCCTTGCATGAACACATTTTACTTGTAGTGTTTCCTGTATAATGACTCATACTGTGGTTTAATGCAGATAACTGCAACTGCAATTGCACAGCAGTTTGTCATTGTCAGTTGGGCAACAATGTGGCTTTGTGTTCAAATGTCACGTTTTAGTCTTTTATGTAACTAGTCATTTAGTGTGATCCATAAAATGTAGTTTATGATCCATCCATACGGCTTGGACTGCATCAGAGTCAGAGGAGGCTGGAGAGGTGAGATTGGCTCATAACAATGTCTGGAATGGAGTGAATGGAATTGTATCAAACACATGGAAACCAGGTGTTTGTGTGAGACCATTCCATTCATTCCGTTCCAGCCATTACTATGAGCCCGTCCTCCCCATTTTTAAAGTGCCACCACTGATCAGAGTGTAACACATCTCATCTATCTGAAGGCTTGTTAGCTCTCCCAGCCTGTCTGGCCATGATGTCAGTGTTTTATTACCCTGAGGGTCACACTCTTAATGGCAGGCCAAGGCCAGCACCATAGATTGATATTGGCCCTTTTCTTTATTGCGTTCCCTTTCTCTAGAGAGACACAAAGTTAGAGTATGAACTTTAAAGTGAAAATCAATCTCTTGAATTATGCTGATCATGACCTCTAATATTATTTTCTTTAATGTTATATAATGAGATTAAGCCAGTAATGTTTTTATTTCAGGCATAGATAAAGGTTAAGTAGATCAGTGGTTCCCAACATGGGGTACTTGGCCTATCCACAGGGGGTACTTGGCCTATCCACAGGGGGTACTTGGCCTATCCACAGGGGGTACTTGGCCTATCCACAGGGGGTACTTGGCCTATCCACAGGGGTTACTTGGCCTATCCACAGGGGGTACTTGGCCTATCCACAGGGGGTACTTGGCCTATCCACAGGGGGTACTTGGCCTATCCACAGGGGGTACTTGAAGACCCATGAGACCATAAGCTTACTGGTAAAATGAGGGGGTACTTCAGGGGTACTCCGGGCAGAGCAAAATTCAGTTGGTAAAAAGGGTTGGGAACCACTGAAATAGATATTCTTAGAGAGACTTTTAGAAGAACCAGTTCTGGTTCTGTAAGGTCTCAAGATAATGTATCTTTGTATAATTTTGCAAGGGTAGTGTTTTAGTATATATCCGACCTGCTCTTGAGCTCCCCCTGCTGGCTGTTGTTTAGGACGGGGTGAGCATGACGGCAGCAGATGAGCTGAGCAGCAGCGTGAGCACGGACACGGGGTTTGGCAGCAGCGCCCCCCCTCTGCCCCCTGAGCTGTGTGACCTCACAGACTCCCAGGATCCCCACGACGACCTGGACCCGGCCCACCCTCCCCCTCCGGCCATAGACACCCCGCCGGGGTCCCTCTGTGAGGAGAGGGACTCCCTCACAGCCCTGCCCATGCTGCTGCCCCCCATCCTAGACAGCCCCTGTGGCTCTGTGTGTGAGGAGGACGTGACGCTGGCGCTGAAGGAGCTTGACGAACGCTGTGAGGAGGAAGAGGCCGACTTCTCCGATATGTCCAGGTAAGACTGCTCTACTCTGACTTTACTGGCCAGTATCAGAGGACCTGTACCAGTGGCCAAATGTGCAGTGGTTGTGGCCTCTAGTCAGATATCTGTTTATATGATCAGGTGTATATTATTCATTGCCTATTGGCAGGTATACATTGATCCTGTCTCTAGATTGACATTCTGTGTACATTTGCATACCTATTTTCAGTTCATACTTGCATGTGGAGAAGCAGAATCTGTGGGGAGTGAGCCAGCAACCAGAGTGTTACTGGCATCAATATCTCAGGTGCCACCTACTGCCGATGTGCCCTTGAGCAAGGCACTTAACCCCCTAACCTGCTCCAGGGGCACTGCTCTGCGGCTGACCTTGTGTTGCTCCCAACCTGTTGTGTGTGTTGTGTGGTGGGTCTTGGTATTGTGACAGCAAGTATTGTATTGTATGTGCGTTCTGTGTTTGCTCAAGTAATTGATCGATTGGAGGGCTGAGTGTGTCGGGTGAGGTCTGTCGGGTCTGCCTGGCTCATCAAGGTGGGCCAACTCAGGCTAGAGGACACTGATCGCAGTACAGCCACAAATCAACTTTCTTCAACTACCAGAGATATAGAAACCACACGGGCGCACACACTTCTTGCTTGCTCATTCAGTACACGCACGTACTTGAATTAATTTCCCCCATTTCCAAAACCCAAAATTTCATTGATTGCTAGAGGGAATGGCAGTGCTAATGATCCTCCCCCGGAAAACAGAGGGGCTCTGCTGTGTGTATGTGCGCGCCAACAAGAAAGCTTAACTCAGCAGGAGGTATTGAGCTTCCTGCGGTGAGGTTGGGGCCTTGCTGTGTGTGTGTGTGTCAGATGCTGGGCTCAGATAGAGCTCTGCTCTGCATTCCTGTGTGGTACGGTGCAGTGTGTTAGGCAGGCTAGTGCAGCTGGCAGAGAGACTCAGTGTTGCCGTGCTGCAGAGAGAGGGAGGGAAGGAGAGGCTCTAGTTAAGGTGAGGATGAGGACGAAGACTGTGTCCTCCACGGTGCTCGGCAGCGCAGGCATCCGATACTTCTACTCGGTCTGTTTCGTCAGGCTGTTCGGTCCCACGGGCCTGTGAGTATCAGTGTGTGTGTGTGTGTGTGTTAAGATGGTAGTTGTGCCATGCATTCTCTTTGCTCTGGCTTTGTAGTAGAGCTCTCCAAAAGAAACACTGCAGCAGAAACATCTGCAGTGAGATGGGATCAGAGAAAGGGGAGGAGGCAAGAGAGGAAGTGTGAGGTTGTTTTGGTTGCAGTCAGAGCGAGGGTGTGCGTGTGTGTGTGCGTTCAGAATTAGGTGAATCCTGTGTGTGTGTCAGTGGTACTTAAACAGACCCTGTGTGTTTGTCTGTTCTCAGTCAAGATGAGGGCGATCAAGATGGTTTCCCCGAGATCCAGGCATCTCCGCCCCCCTCGCCCTTCCTCTCCGCCATCCTGGCCGCTTTCCAGCCCGTTGCCTATGACGACGAGGAGGACGCCTGGCGTTGCCATGTCAACCAGATGTTGTCGGACACGGATGGGTCCTCTGCTGTGTACACCTTCCATGTGTTCTCCCGACTGTTTAAGGTGAGAGAGAAAGAGGAGTGGGATATGTTTAGTTTTGTGTGTATGTTTATGTTTTGTACATATTCATGCGTGTGTGTTCGCTCTGTTGACTGTGTTATTGTCTTGGTGTCTGCAGAGCATGCAGAGGAAGTTTGGCTTCATCACCCACTCGTCAGTGCGTTTCCTAGGAGAGAGGCTGCAGCGAATGGGGAACCAGTTCCTCAGCTCCCTAGAGGTCATGACCTCTCACTCCCAGTGCCCCACAGTGCTGCTGGATGCTGAGACGGTGAGTCTGCCCTGCTAACCCAAAGATGACAACTTCCTTAATAATGTAAAGTTATGTTACATAATTTCTCTGGTTACAAAAGGGAACCATGACAAAAGCTAATTGTAGCATGCTTGTTGGTAAGATATTTTTAGCGATGGCAGCAGTTATATAATTAGCCGTACTTGTAATGCGTGCAATTGCATGTTATGCAGTGAATATGTACTTGGCCTATACTGCAGGGAGTTGACACATTCATTCATGTGATCTGTATTGTGTAGTTGGTTGTCCTGTAATTGTGTCCTTTTGTTGGTTGGTTAATGTGTGTTGTGTCTGGTCTGTGTTGTAGTTGGTGTCATGTGGACTGCTGGAGACTCTGAAGTTTAGTGTGCTGGAGTTGCAGGAACACCTGGACACCTACAACGGCAAGAGAGAGGCGGCTGAGGAGGTGAGCTTTCCCCAATCATCACCATGTACTATACAGTACACCCTCATCCCTATCTACAGTTACAGTACTCTTACCTACCGTTTCCTAAACCCCCAGACCACACAATCACACATTCTTATTCCATCCAATTATGGCTAATTATCATACCACATATCTGTACCAGCCCTGCACCAGACCACTGGTGGTACTTCAATGGCCTCTCATTCCTAGTGAGGTATTATTTTTTATTTTATTCGGATCCCCATTAGCTGTTGCCAAAGCACCAGCTACTCTTCCTGGGATCCTCATGAAACATGACATAATACAGAACATTAATAGACAAGAACAGCTCAAGGACAGAACTACATCAATTGGAAAGCTGAAGGCTCAATGAGGCCTCAGATTACGCCTCATTTCACCTCCAGATCAGTGAGGAAGAGGCTGAGAGAACAGAACCGAGACAATGAGCTGAGTCGTAAGGAGATAAATGGGTTTGGGTGTCTCGTCGTCGGGTCAGCCATTGAATCACAGGAGGATATGAGTGGATTTAGCATCCGTTAGCGTCCACATTGCTAGCGACATCCTCTGCTGAAGGGCTAAAAATATCCTCTGGCGCTCTTAAATCAGTTAGAGGGTTAGACAGGAGGGAGGAAGAAGAGATGGAGGGGGGGGGGGGGGTAAAGAGGACAGATGAGAGCGCGAGAGGGCTCTGGGATGCAGGGGCGCTAATTGAATGAGACTGGTGCGGTCCCTGGAGGATTGGTCTCCACCCCCCTGAACTGGAACCAACCCTCTTTAATTCGCTAAGTACAGCACTCTTATTAAATCTACCCCCCACCTGACCCCTGCACAAACACACACACTCGTCGAAAGAAAAAACACTGCTATTAATTTCATGACATATTCTCTCGCATCCCATTCATACAGTGGCTGGAGAACTGCAGGAAAACGTTTGGCGACAAAGACTGCAACCAAGGACCCAACACTCAGGCCCAGGTATGACTAACACACACATCTGAACACAGCAATGTTACGTGTGTCAAATTGTGACGACAGTCTGTGTTTGAGTGCCTTTTCTAATACAATCAAGCACTCGATAAGCATGGTAACATGCCTGTTGAAACAGTTTTGTTCTCAGAGAAAATACGTGTCAAAGCTAATTCATCTCCCCTCTCATCCTCAACACAATGTTTTAACTTCCTACAAGCTCAGTGATATAATCAGACCCTCAAGGGAGACATTAAACAGTCAATCTGTCTTAAACATCCTTTGGCTACTGAACCCTGGTCTCTGGTCTTGAAGGCAGTATTACTTCAGCTCATCATGGTAGATGTAGCTGATCTGAGGTCAGCTGAGAACCCCTACCGTGCGGTCTCCTCCTGTCCCCTGATATTGTTTAGTACTCTGACTTCGATACTGGAGGTTATAGATTTGTAGCCTCTTTGCTTGCCCCCCCCCCCCCCCCCCCTCCTCTCTCTCCCAGGTCAGAGGACATGCTTGGCTGTGAAAAAATGAGCTATTACAGACTAAAGCTCTGAGGCACATACTCATTCACTGCTCTTCTACTTCACCCCCTCTTACCTCTCTTGCTTTGTCTACATCCTGCTCTCTGTTTTCCAGCTCTGTATTTCTACTCTGCTTTGACTTGAATACACTGATCCTAGACCAGCTGTTGTTATCTAAGAACCACTGTTGGGACTAAGCCTCCCCTGACCTGGGAACAGGTGTTATGATGGAGGGGTTGTTACCTGTCAGGTCACTGTATCAGGGTTGCGATGTGAAGGCTCACTAATTCTTGGTCTTTCTCTCTTCCCGTTTTGTTTGTTGTTTTTGTGACCTGCTCACCCTCTTGCTTAGCAAATGGAAAAACTAGCAGTAAGTGGTTCTGTTAAGTATTCTAGACTCCAATATAATCATGATGTCCGGACAACACACTGACCATCTCATCCCTATCCACGTGTACCTGCCGCTGTCGACAACCAACCACGGCCTGGGCCCTCCCACTCTGACTCCACCTCTCTCTCATATATCTAAATAATTTACCCAAGCATACTGTTTCTCATCATTGGCATGTATGGAGATATATACTCTACTTTTGGCTTCACCTTGACTGAATAATCTTGTCAACTTCTTAACCCCTCCCTCATCCCTACTGATTTCCCTACTGTTATGGGGAGGGGAGAGGATGGAGAGAGAGCTGTGAAGCCATGTTTAGAGTCTACCTCCATTTTGCATGCTTATTGCTCCATTCCCATATCTGTTCAAATTCCCATTTTCCTCCATGTTTCCTGCATTAGAGAGAATGTTTGATAATTTCAGTCACATATTTGCTCGGTTTATCTCGGTGGTTGGACAGACCTTATCCATAGGGGGCGCAACAGACAGGTGGTGATGGTTGGTGTATAACCCAGTCCTCCATGGCTAATGATGATGACAACCTCTGGTTTGTTAGTAGCTAGTTAATAGGGCTAGATCCTCACCTATGGCCCCAGGCCTCGTCGGTTCTCTTTAGGGCAGGGGTCTCCAACAGGTAGATCACTAGCTACCAGTAGCTTGCAGCCCACCTATGACTAGCTCGCCAAACAATTCTGAAAGAACACTATATATAAAGTTTGGTGGAGGAGGAATAACAGTCTGGGGCTGTTTTTCATGGTTCGGCCTAGGCCCCTTAGTTCCAGTGAAGGGAAATCTTAACGCTACAGCATACAATGACATTCTAGACGATTCTGTGCTTCCAACTTTGTGGCAACAGTTTGGGGAAGGCCCTTTCATGTTTCAGCATGACAATGCCCCCGTGCACAAAGCGAGGTCCATACAGAAATGGTTTGTCGAGATCGGTGTGGAAGAACTTGAATGGCCTGCAATGAGCCCTGACCTCAACCCCATTGAACACCTTTGGGATGAATTGGAACGCCGACTGTGAGCCAGGCCTAATCGCCCAACATGAGTGCCCGACCTCACTAATGCTCTTGTGGCTGAATGGAAGCAAGTCCCCACAGCAATGTTCCAACATCTAGTGGAAAGCCTTCCCAGAAGAGTGGAGATTATTATAGCAGCAAAGGGGAGACCAACTCCATATTAATGCCCATAACCAACGCAACATTGACATTATCCCACCCCTGGTTAGCCACTATTGGCTTAAAAAGCCAAACCTAACACAATATCTGCCAATTAACTTCCAGCAATATTGCCCCTTTGTCTGTGTGGTGCGGGAGTTTGTCTATCACTCTGCGTGTAGCTAGCTAGTTGATGAGTTAAGTCTTGTGGGTTGACAGAAATACAAAATGTCTTCATTAAATGTTAACTGCAAAGTAGGCTTACCTGGCATAAGTATATCATGAGTAAGTACTGTATATCATTTGTATCTATTATTTGTTATTTGCAAACATTGCCATGCAATGAGCAGCAGTAGTACAGAACCATTGCTAGACTGGAACATTAGAAGGCACACTAGATGCGCAATTAAAGGGCCAGATGCGCAATTAAAGGGGAATTACCCCCCCCCCCCAAGAAAAGGTATTCTGATGTGATTGAAGCATTGACATTGACAGTTGTCATTTTGAGAGTGAAAAACTAAACAAAACAGGTAAAATAAAACTGAGAACATGATTTGGGGAAATATAAACCATAATTTGGGATAGAAATTACAGATTTTAGATGACCCCCCTTGGAGTTGTTTACTAACCATTATTTTACCAGGTATATTGACAGAAAACACTGCACTACTTTTTCTTGTACACTAAGGACCCGGGGAAGAGTTGCAGGGGAGAGGAGAAGAGATGTGCCTATTTGAAAGCTAGAAAAAAAAATGTTTACATTTTTTAAAAGTAGCTCTCATGCTAGAAAAGGTTGGAGACCCCTGCTGTAGGGACATCGCTCCGCACCTTGTTAACCCTTTCATCTCCTTCCCCGTTAGTTTCTAACCCAGGATGTCCATCCGTCTGATCATGTGGCCATTATGACCTGTGTGGCTGTAGTGAGTGTGAGCGGTGTGTTACTGTCTCTGCTCTCTCTCTGTAGGAGCTGGAGCTGTGTCGCAGGCTCTATAAGCTGCACTTCCAGCTGCTGCTACTCTTCCAGGCCTACTGTAAACTCATCAGTCATGTGGACACCATCAAGAGAGAGGCAGAGGTGAGACTGGGCAGGGGTTCACTCAACAGGGACTGGGTGGTACAGAAGGGCAGCATGAAAACGGTTTTAGGCTGTGGTAATAGGGGTCAGTTATGTTATTCATTTACATGCCAAGCACACTTGGAGTCTTTCACATCACATGCACCATTTTGTGTGTGTGTGGTGCTAGGTCAACACTGTGTGCTAGGTCAACACAGGGAGGGTGTTATATTTTATTTCCCTTTCCCAAAGAGCTCTTTAATTGGGCTTCAGGTTGTTTCAGGAAAACTTGAGACACTGAGGCCGCCTGGATTTTCCCCCATCTTCCCTGACAGGAAACAAGCAGTGACAACGCACACGCTAAATTAAACTCACTTGCTTCCTGTGTACAAAACATTAGGAACACCTGCTCTTTCCATGACAGACTGACCAGGTAAATCCAAGTGAAGGCTATGATCCCTTATTGATGTCACCTTGTAAATCCACTTAAATCACTGTAGATTAAGGGGAAGAGACTGGTTAAAGAATAAATGTTTAAGCTTTGAGACAATTGAGACATGGATTGTGTATGTCTGCCATTCAAGGGGTGAAAATATTTAAGTGCCTTTGAATGGGGTATGGGGGTAGGTGCCAGGCGCACCGGTTTGAGTGTGTCAAGAACTGCAACGTTGCTGAGTCAACATGGGCCAGAATCCCTGTGGAACGATTTCGACACCTTGTAGAGTCCATGCGCCGACGAATTGAGGGCAAAAGGGGCTGCAACTCAATATTAGGAAGGTGATTCCTAATGTTTTGTACACAGTGTATACGCACACACACAGGCTTATGCTTTTTGAAATTAAAGATACTGTAATGGCAAAAGTTGTTCTGTAAAGTCATGAGCCATTTTTGTAGATGACTATGTACAAATGTGCCCTCAAGAAAATATATAAACATTCTACAAGATGCCTCTATGCATATGCTCTTTCTCTCACTCACACACACACACGCAATTTTGCCTAACCAGACAGACATAGTGCCTGACTGTCTCTATCTCAGTACCTATCTAGAGGTTCTTCTGCTGTCTAGCCCTGTTGTCTTATGGCTTTTTACTGGAGTTAAATCTCAACACTCCTTCCGTAGCCTCCAACTGCTCTTAAACACTAGTAAAACTAAATGCATGCTCTTCAACCGAACGCTGCTTGTACCCGCCCACCCGACTAGAATCACTACTCTCGGCGGGTCTGACCTAGAGTATGTGGACAACTACAAATACCTAGGTGTCTGGTTAGACTGTAAACTCTCCTTCCAGACTCACATTAAGCATCTCCAATCAAAAGTTAGATCTAGAATCGGCTTCCTATTTCGCAACAAAGCCTCCTTCACTCATGCTGCCAAACATGCCCTCGTAAAACTGACTATCCTACCGATCCTTGACTTCGGCGATGTCATTTACAAAATAGCCTCCAACACTCTACTCAGCTAATTGGATGTAGTCTATCACAGTGCCATCCGTTTTGTCACCAAAGCCCCATATACTACCCACCATTGTGACCTGTACCGATCAATGCACCTGTACACAGCCATTCTGAAATTAGCCCACCCAACTACCTCATCCCCATATTGTTATTTATTTTGCTAATTTGCACCCCAGTATCTCTATTTGCACATCATCTTTTGCACATCTATCATTCCAGTATAAATACGAAATTGTAACTATTTTGCACTATGGCCTATTTATTGCCTTACCTCCATAACTTACTACATTCGCACACACTGTATACAGTGGGGAGAACAAGTATTTGATACACTGCCGATTTTGCAGGTTTTCCTACTTACAAAGCATGTAGGGGTCTGTAATTTTTATCATAGGTACACTTCAACTGTGAGAGACGGAATCTAAAACAAAAATCCAGAAAATCACATTATGATTTTTAAGTAATTAATTTGCATTTTATTGCATGACATAAGTATTTGATACATCAGAAAAGCAGAACTTAATATTTGGTATAGAAACCTTTGTTTGCAATTACAGAGATCATACGTTTCCTGTAGGTCTTGACCAGGTTTGCACACACTGCAGCAGGGATTTTGGCCCACTCCTCCATACAGACCTTCTCCAGATCCTTCAGGTTTCTGGGCTGTTGCTGGGCAATACGGACTTTCAGCTCCCTCCAAAGATTTTCTATTGGGTTCAGGTCTGGAGACTGGCTAGGCCACTCCAGGACCTTGAGATGCTTCTTACAGAGCCACTCTTTAGTTGCCCTGGCTGTGTGTTTCGGGTCGTTGTCATGCTGGAAGACCCAGCCACGACCCATCTTCAATGCTCTTACTGAGGGAAGGAGGTTGTTGGCCAAGATCTCACGATACATGGCCCCATCCATCCTCCCCTCAATACGGTGCAGTCGTCCTGTCCCCTTTGCAGAAAGGTATCCCCAAAGAATGTTTCCACCTCCATGCTTCACGGTTGGGATGGTGTTCTTGGGGTTGTACTCATCCTTCTTCCTCCAAACACGGCGAGTGGAGTTTAGACCAAAAAGCTCTATTTTTGTCTCATCAGACCACATGACCTTCTCCCATTCCTCCTCTGGATCATCCAGATGGTCATTGGCAAACTTCAGACGGGCCTGGACATGCGCTGGCTTGAGCAGGGGGACCTTGCGTGCGCTGCAGGATTTTAATCCATGACGGCGTAGTGTGTTACTAATGGTTTTCTTTGAGACTGTGGTCCCAGCTCTCTTCAGGTCATTGACCAGGTCCTGCCGTGTAGTTCTGGGCTGATCCCTCACCTTCCTCATGATCATTGATGCCCCATGAGGTGAGATCTTGCATGGAGCCCCAGACCGAGGGTGATTGACCGTCATCTTGAACTTCTTCCATTTTCTAATAATTGCGCCAACAGTTGTTGCCTTCTCACCAAGCTGCTTGCCTATTGTCCTGTAGCCCATCCCAGCCTTGTGCAGGTCTACAATTTTATCCCTGATGTCCTTACACAGCTCTCTGGTCTTGGCCATTGTGGAGAGGTTGGAGTCTGTTTGATTGAGTGTGTGGACAGGTGTCTTTTATACAGGTAACGAGTTCAAACAGGTGCAATTAATACAGGTAATGAGTGGAGAACAGGAGGGCTTCTTAAAGAAAAATTAACAGGTCTGTGAGAGATGGAATTCTTACTGGTTGGTAGGTGATCAAATACTTATGGCATGCAATAAAATGCAAATGAATTACTTAAAAATCATACAATGTGATTTTCGGGATTTTTGTTTTAGATTCCGTCTCTCACAGTTGAAGTGTACCTATGATAAAAATTACAGACCTCTACATGCTTTGTAAGTAGGAAAACCTGCAAAATCGGCAGCGTATCAAATACTTGTTCTCCCCACTGTATATATTTTCTGTTTGTATTTTTGACTTTATGTTTTGTTTACCCCATATGTAACTCTGTGTTGTTTTTATCGCACTGCTTTGCTTTATCTTGGCCAGGTCGCAGTTGTAAATGAGAACTTGTTCTCAACTGGCTTACCTGGTTAAATAAAGGTGAAATAAAAAAATAATTTAAAAAATCCCCTGAATGAGAGTGGATCATTTCTCACATGGAGAGATGAGGTCAGCTATTTCAATGAATCACATCAATACTAATTGCATTGCTTCACTGATTTTCTAGACAAGTCTTGCACGTGCCCAAACACGTGAGATTATCTCTGCAGTTATCTGACCTTTTGGGTGTGGGTGTGTGTGTCTCCAAGGTGACCAACATGTCAGAGGAGCTGGCCATTCTTGAGAGCTGTTTGAAGCAGGCGGAGTCAGGGGTTGATGGACAGGAGGATGTGGGCGTGTCGGATGCCTCCCAGACCAGTACGGAGACGGCCATCCAATCACTGATTGAGACCCTGAGGGCCAGAGACTTCAGCTCTGCCCTCACACAGGTCAAAACCTTCAGGTAAAGAAACAACGATTACGTATTTTCTATCCTACAGCTATTCCTCAATGTATAGACTACACAGGCATGTGTCTAGTCTTCTGTCATGTATCTACTCTTAAATCTCGGCGCTGATACCCTTTTCCTCCTCCCTCCCCTCTCCTCCACTAGGTCTCTGTGGCCTAACGACATCTTTGGGAACGAGTCAGACAACGCGGTCCAGACTCTCCTGCACATCTACTTCCGTCACCAGACGCTGGGCCAGACAGGCTGCCTGGCCGTGGTGGGGCCCAGCAGGGACCTGTCCCAGGCCAGCGGCCGCCTCATGGAGCTCAACCTGCAGATCAGAGAGGCTCTGAGCCAGACCCAGGCCTGCCAGACCACAGTGGTCAGCACTGGACTGTGAGCCTTCAGGCCCAAAGTCTGGACTGGACTGGACTGGACTACAGCATACCTCTCCTGTACCACTCACAGCTTCCATCTGCTCTGGAGGCTGGTGAGACAGTGACGTGTGTCAGGGGAGGACAGAAGAGACTCCACCTATAAGGGCTAAAGGATGTGTGGGAATAACTGTGACTCATATTAATATATATTACATATATAAAATACTTTAAAAGCTCATATCTGTTTTCCCAGAATAAGCCACCTTGCCAAATTCATCTGCAATAAGTCGTGGTATTATGTGACTGGTGAAGACTGGCCCAGGAGTGAGAAGTAGGAAGGAGACAATGGGGATGATGATGCTAAACTGGATGGGTCTCCCATATTGGCCAGAGGCTACCTCAGCCCCTCTCAGGGGACTGGTTGGATCCTGAGGTTTGGTCAGCGAGATGATATGGTGTTGTGTTCTTGTAGCAGAGGATTTGGAGCACGGGAGACTTTGGAGTCAGTCCGGAAGGAAACCGGATGGATGTGTGAGAGGACAGGCAGTCCCTGTCAAGATTCATAAACAAAAACAAAGAAAGAAAATAGTTTTCAGAAGCATGCTTGAAAGAGAGAAGCACTGCAAGAATATTTTTTGAGAAATGTACTATTTTTTATTAGAGCTAACATCCTAGGTTGTAAATGTTAGGATATTTAACGTGTAATTGTAACCCTAGGGGATCTGTGTATTGACCTGCATTGGAGACGAGCATCTTCAGCAGGTCTTCTAATGAAACTCTCACTCTGTAACCAAATAAGTACCTGCCTGTAGAGACTTTAGGCTGTGTGGTATAGATAGAATATGATTGTATACACTCGCATACACAAATGCATATAATTGCACTGAAGTGCAGACTGGCTACAACTCATTATGGAAACATCAATAACTTATTTTACTCTGTATATATTTTAGAAAATGTATAGTGTAAAACCAGTATTTTCCCCTTGTACTTTTGTTGCACTGTTAATCCGAATAGGATGTATGAAGCTAATAGGAGAAAAGAGAGCTGATAGTCACTAATGACCCTCCCACTATTATAATCCTGTCACACAAACTTTAACATTTCCTATAGACTGGCCTGCCTGTTGGTCCACGTGCTAATGGGTCAGAGGTCATTGGAACTGGTTAAAGGCGCTCGCGTAGATTCTGCTTCCTGTTGGACTGCCACAGCCCAACCAAGCCCAGTCCTATGCATTCCTTCTCTCCACTGTGATCTCCATGTTGGCCCTGTACAGGCTCCTCTAAAAAGACTTGAGAAACTGAGGCCTGTGTTTGTCCATGTTGGCTGAGCCCAGTGGCGCACAGCTGCACTGATGGTGTGCCACGGCCCTGTGTTCGGAGGGGAAACTGCTGCCATTAAGGCTCTGCTTTTGCTTCTAAAAAGGCACTGCTTGCTGCAGGACATGAACTTGTCTGAAAGTGTTGCAGGAAACTTGTCATGGCACATTGTAAACGATCACTGTACTCATTCCACAGAACTTGTCTGTTGCTTGTCTGGTACATTTGAATGCTGATCTTAGTTATTTAACAGATATTTACCTGGAAAATTGTTTTTATTGTAGAGATGCATTACCGGTATACTTTTCTTTTTGTCATTTAACATACCAGCCTTCTCTCTGGATAAATAAAAACTTGATCATATGAATTTCTCTGCCATTGTTTTCAGACTATTGATAGGGTTATTCATTTAAAGGTCCAATGCAGGCATTTCTCAATATCAAATATTATCTAGGTAACAATTAAAGGCCCATTGCAGTCACATGTTTTACATATTTCCACACAGGTGGGAATAACAAAATGCTATGTAAGAGCTGCTTGAAAGTTCAGCCTGTTTGGTGACATGCTATTAGGTTTGAAAAATGCACGTTTTCAGGTTAATTAGGCCCCTCAAACCACAGTCCTAGCTAAATTCATTGAAAAATAAAACATCTGCATTGAGCCATGCTGCAGAGCTCCAGTAACCTCACTCATAATGGCTGGCTAGTCAGGCATAGAGTATATGCCTCTGACGTCACAGGCACGCTTTGTCAGTTCTCTACAACCAAAGACGATGCTTTAGTTCCAATGCAAGAGACCATTGTAAGTTCAGGCCATCCTCGGTAATGGCCGACATACTACTACAAGCTTGCGCCACTGCTGACAAGCCATCCTAGACAGGGTGAGAAAAATACCAGAGAATGTAGACTGCTGGGTATTGCCATTTTATTTCACGTTCAGAAGTGTTTTCCTGCAATCACTATCATGAAAATAAAGGCATAACAGAAAATAATGAAATCTCAAAAGTATTCGCCTACATCCCAGAGCCTCATTAAATGTGCATGGGGGATTCTCTGGGCTGAAGAACTCATCCTGCAGGACTTAGATTGGATGTGAAAGTTCATGTGCAAGTTCCTGCTAGATGATGTATTTGAAACTGAAGGTGCGGTCACAGGAGAGCCGCTTGCCCTTGCACCTGCCACACAGATCCTGTCTGTGGGGGCGTTTGGGGTCAATGTGACGAGGGGTCACTTCGCACACACAGCGCGCCTTGTTACAAGTCTGTGGAGACAGGACACGGTTAAGTGGAGAACCCAAGTTTCGTGTCAAGTCATGGTTTAACCTGGTGGTTTTTATGTCAGTTTAACAATGTAGAGTAGAACAGAAGCCTAGATTCTTACCTGGCAGGTGATGTCCTCGACCCGGTAAGGATTGAAGGACTTCTGGCATGTTCTACAGAACTGCTTGAAGTAGACCTGAAACAGAGACAGCAATTGAGAAGAGACTACCAGAGTAGCAGTAGTCATACTTCTGGGATTGAATGGACCAGCATACTATACCTTGCTCGTTCCTTGGACGCACCAAACGTATGCACTCTCCCAACGCAGGTTGCAGTCTCTGCAGTGATAGTACCCATACTTCTGCTCCAGAAACTAGGGAAGGAATTGAGTCCAGTCAGAATGCGAATTACATAGTGGCCGTCTAGACCTTTACACATCTACCTTTACAAACTATTCATGTCAATTATTCTTATTGTATTTCTTTTTTAGTGTGTGGGTCTGTTTCAGACTGGCCGACTAAACTTAAATTGTCAGCATGGGGCTCACCTGAAACCTCACGCGGTCCTTGACTTTCGATCCATCCTGATTGGCTTTGACAACCTCGGTCATAACTGACCCGTCAGTCTTCTTACTAGATTTTTTACTAGTCTTTTCTTCCTTTGCCTTTTCTGTTTTGTCCTCTGCAGACTTTTCGCCTTTATTCTTTTTCACGGTTTCAGGTGGGTCGCCGGTCTGTGCTTCACTAGACCCCCCTTTGTCGTCTTCTAGAAAAGATGTAAGTCTCCTACACGCGATAGGTGAGTAGACCGCCAGTGTGCGAGGGTAGAGCACGCCTCCCACGGAGCTGCCGGGACTACCGGGTGTCTGGGCCTCCTGTCTCCTCTTGCGCAAAGCGTCTCGCTTTCCGGTCATGAGGGTCCTTGGGCCGAGGGAACACTGCACCGAGACATCCTTCTTCGGGTTGACTTGCACAGCGACATCTTTGGTATTTGCTTTCCGTAGCCTCGGTGTAAGATTGGGGTTTATTTGAGACAAGATAGATTTAAGTTGCGCACGCTGGTGGTTATCAAAATAGTCCTCTGATGCCACATAGTTGGCCAAATAATTGTTTCTCCAGCCCGCACCTTTTGGTTTGGGATACCTGCCAGAATAAGGGTTGTAAGATGAATAGAAATAACTGTCGATCGACTCGTCTACATATGTAGCCATTTTTGCTCAGCCAACTTGGGTGATTTGGTTTACCAATTTAAATAGATTGACGAGACACGATTTCATTAATTGTACGCAGGTGTGGCAGTCCTCCTAAATTGGCCTCCAAGACCAATCCGCAAATAAAACGAAACTCTGCAAGATGACGGAATGCAGAAGGGTCAGATTTTATTTTTCTTGTATCATATTTATACACAATTGTATATTTTACAGACGGTTTGTCGTCCTACATATATGGAGTAGTTAGGTTTTGTTGAATAATTGTACTGCATTATTTTTCTTCTTGAACTGAAACTATAGGCACCAAAAACATGTACCCTTGAACTTGAATACTTGCTTTGAATGCAAAATAATAATTGACAATGTTAGTAATGTAGATCATGATTATGTTTGACTTTACAAGCAAGTGAGATGACACATTTGGCAAACTGCTGCTGTTCTGCATCAGTGATGTGAGAGTGAATGAATATATTTTATGAAATCCATTTTCACAGCCATTTTCATTAATACACAAGATGTTGAAGTAAGCTCAGATATACTAGGCTTTTTTACTTCTATGAACCTGTTAATATTTTTTTCATGGTCTTATGAGTTGCTTCAAATATATTTTGTAACATTCTCTCCCTCCATAAATATTTGCAGTCTTCTGTCCTGTCATGAGACACACCCATAGGGTTTCTGCCCTGCAGTCTCATGTTGCTGACATGACAAGGACTTTTGATAGTGATGTCATGAGCGGACCTGAATGTCTCTATGCACCACTCCACCCATGGTGGGCCATCATTGTCTCATGCACACTAAACAGGAGTAGAGTCCGGACAAGGCTCCAGCATGATGAGATTTGGGTCACTCATGGTCACTGCCCCGTAAGAAGTGTCAAAGCCCATATCCTCGTCTTCAAACCTATTATATCCAATATCCCTGTTGTCCCTTAGTGGGTTTGTGTCTGGTTTGTGTAGAACCTCTTTCCTGTACATCCGATAGGCCAGGATGAAGATGCCGGCCTCAGCGGCCTGGAAGAGAGCGTAGAGTAGAGGGAACATATACATGCCCCCCATCAGCTGTGGTGGGAAGGCCATCTTCAGGATGGCTGTGCAGAGCTGCACGTTCTGGCACCCGGTCTCCAGTGACACGGTCCTACGGCTGTTGGGCGGTAGGTCGAACAGTGTGGCCAGGCCATAGCCTGCAGCGTAGCCACATGCAGGCATCAGGACAGCCACCACATAGACAGATGGAGGGATGGTAGCCAGCAGCTCTGGCCCCAACATGGCCCCCGTCATGATGAACAGCATCACCAGGGTCACCAGCAGAGACCACAGGGACACCTGGGGAAACAAACAGCACGGGATCAACAAAGGTTTTATGACATAGGCATTCTCTACATCCAGATTGTTTTAGGAGGGTGGAGGGAAGGAACAATGGATGCATTTTCAGGATATTCAAACATAACCAATATTATTAAGGCGCAAGGGAAAGCCACAAGTGAGCATGGTCCACTGGAATCAATGTGATTTCTTGCATCCCTTCCCCTCTGTGGATCTCTTCCCCTCTGTGGATCTCTCATCCAGTTCTATGACTCTGTCACACATCTTGTGCCCCTCCCTCTCCTGGCTGAGCTGCCTTTAGATAAATTATTCTGAAAGGGAGGGGCCGAGGGGCTCTCCCTGACAGTACAGTGCACCTCTGCCTCTGATGTCACTGTGCAATGTGGGCAGGCTTTGTCTCCACTAAAAGCTAGACATAAAAAAATGACTCAGTGGGTACAATGTCACACTAGTGATTACAAAGTCAAAAGGTCCACAACTGATTATTACTATTTTAGTATTGTATGTCATTCTTAATGTAACACTTAGAATCAGGAAATAATTTAAGTAATCCTACATTTTTATTCTTTATATAGTACCTTACAGGTCTAATACATTTTTTTTGATAAACTTCGTGTAATGTCATATTTCTAAACTATAAAAAGGAAAAGGGCAAAGGAATATAACAAAACAGCTTTTCAGTGTCTGTCTAAAGTATGTGCCAAGTGCTCTCAATCTCACATTGAACCAGTCAACCTGTCTCCAAACCTTCCTCTACACCGCACCGTTATTTCAGACTGCCCTGTATACCTTTAAAACGATGTCTGCCGCCCGGTTGTAGCGGTACCGGAGCACGACCCCCAGACCAATGGGGATGAGAGTGCTACAGAGGGTGAGGATGATCGCGCCGAACGGCATCAGATTGACCACCGGGGTGTTGATCCAGGCGCGGCTATATATCCACAGACACAGCGGCATCAGAACCAGCGCTAGGACCGTGGAGGAAATGGTCATGATGATGCTGAAAAGAGAAAGATACAAGTGAATTACACCATCACATTAACTACTAAGTGGTGGATCCTCAAATAATGGCACCATTTTCTGTTTAATAAATTAAGATGTGTTCAAATCAAAATCTGTTTTGACAATTTGGACCACAAGTCCCAACAGTAGGCTATGCTGGAGATACGACCATGTGTAAAATTCCATTTTAATTCTCATGCGTAAAATTCAACCAATATGCGTAAAATCCAAGTAATAGCCTACTTGTGCCTAAACTTCGAGTTAGAGGCATCGTGAATAAAGTGAAATATCAGACAATGTATCAATTAATATAGGTTTAGGTTTCCATTCATCCAAGTAGGCTATAAATTGAGAATTTTATTTGAAGTGCATTTTATAGTCCACTTGGAAAGGTGTGATAGTTTTATTCTTAGTGAGTCCTTGAGTTACCTCAGATTCATCTCCCCATTCACTAATAAGGACATGATGTTGGATAGGTTTCCTCCTGGACAGCAGCCACACAGTAGAACGGCCATAGCCGCCACATCGTCGAGAGAGAATGCCAAAGCAAGCAGGAAGGCGACCAGGGGCATGATAACAAACTGGCACACTAGCGCCAGCAGAACCCCGATGGGTCTGCGGATATGTTCCCCAAGCTGGCTCACATCTACCGTACACCCTAGCCCCAGCATGGTGAAGCACAGGACAATCCCTACAAACACATTGATTCCGTGACTTAGCGGAGAATCCCAAAAGGCAACCACCAAGTGAGCGGGTTCCGTCGGCGGCAGTTTAGCCCGAAGCCCAGCAGCAACCGCAGTCCTGAGAACTTTCAGAGATACCTGGTCGTTCGTTACGCGTAATTCTGTCATGGCGAGCTCATCTGTGAAGCCTTCGTAGAGTCGGGAGATGGTGTCATTCATGGTGAAGTTGAGGATTTCTGTTAGGCCAGCAGTTGGAACATCAGTGACCACCATACTTGAGTTCTCCATCGCCTTACCAGGGTTACAGAAGCTCTCCACAGACGGTGTCCCCCTGAAGGTGCCAGTGCGTAAACTGTGGTCCCCTGGTGGTGCAACGTCATCGCGCGCTGTCACCAATGACAGAGGATTAAACTCGAGGCTCAAGTGGTTAGAGAATGCGGTGGCATCAGGGAATTTCTCAGTTTTAAACACAGACCATGAGACCCACATAGTGACGTCTGGGGCGCGGATTGGCTCACAGCTGACACGCGCGCCAGCATTCCAGAAAGACGCTCGAGGCTGGGGAGTCTGCTCATCATCTCTGAAGAATTCATATCAGGGGTGATGGGCTCGATCATCCCCTGCAGGCTTTTATCTTGAGCTCGTGCACAGGAGAAAACGCATTTATTCATCGCATTACCTATTGAACTTGGACTATTTATATCATTCAGTTTTCTCTAATTTGTTATTGTAAATTAAAATAATTATTCTCGGGTTGGAACACCTCATTTGGGTAATATTACTTTCAAACAATAATTCATATTTTTAATAAGTGCATGGCTGTAGTTTGCTGTGACCAGCGCACAGTTCAAGTGATTCTGGAAATGTTTTGGTTGAGTCGGCAAACATAAAGGGAAACTGTGATGCTCTTTATATTCGTTCATTAACCGCGGGCACGTTTCTTTTCTTCTCTGTGCTCTTTCTATCCTTCGTGAATTGGGTTGACAGTTTTGAGGTAATCACAATGAGCCTCTCGACATGTGCATGGCATGCGTATGTCTCATATACAGTGGGGGAAAAAAGTATTTGGTCAGCCACCAATTGTGCATGTTCTCCCACTTAAAAAGATGAGAGAGGCCTGTAATTTTCATCGTAGGTACACGTCAACTATGACAGACAAATTGAGGAAAAAAAATCCAGAAAATCACATTGTAGGATTTTTTATGAATTTATTTGCAAATTATGGTGGAAAATAAGTATTTGGTCACCTACAAACAAGCAAGATTTCTGGCTCTCACAGACCTGTAACTTCTTCTTTAAGAGGCTCCTCTGTCCTCCACTTGTTACCTGTATTAATGGCACCTGTTTGAACTTGTTATCAGTATAAAAGACACCTGTCCACAACCTCAAACAGTCACACTCCAAACTCCACTATGGCCAAGACCAAAGAGCTGTCAAAGGACACCAGAAACAAAATTGTAGACCTGCACCAGGCTGGGAAGACTGAATCTGCAATAGGTAAGCAGCTTGGTTTGAAGAAATCAACTGTGGGAGCAATTATTAGGAAATGATAGACCTACGTAGACATACAAGACCACTGATAATCTCCCTCGATCTGGGGCTCCACGCAAGATCTCACCCCGTGGGGTCAAAATGATCACAAGAACGGTGAGCAAAAATCCCAGAACCACACGGGGGGACCTAGTGAATGACCTGCAGAGAGCTGGGACCAAAGTAACAAAGCCTACCATCAGTAACACACTACGCCGCCAGGGACACAAATCCTGCAGTGCCAGACGTGTCCCCCTGCTTAAGCCAGTACATGTCCAGGCCCGTCTGAAGTTTGCTTTTGGATGATCCAGAAGAGGATTGGGAGAATGTCATATGGTCAGATGAAACCAAAATAGAACTTTTTGGTAAAAACTCAACTCGTCGTGTTTGGAGGACAAAGAATTCTGAGTTGCATCCAAAGAACACCATACCTACTGTGAAGCATGGGGGTGGAAACATCATGCTTTGGGGCTGTTTTTCTGCAAAGGGACCAGGACGACTGATCCGTGTAAAGGAAAGAATGAATGGGGCCATGTATCGTGAGATTTTGAGTGAAAACCTCCTTCCATCAGCAAGGGCATTGAAGATGAAACGTGGCTGGGTCTTTCAGCATGACAATGATCCCAAACACACCGCCCGGGCAACGAAGGAGTGGCTTCGTAAGAAGCATTTCAAGGTCCTGGAGTGGCCTAGCCAGTCTCCAGATCTCAACCCCATAGAAAATCTTTGGAGGGAGTTGAAAGTCCGTGTTGCCCAGCGACAGCCCCAAAACATCACTGCTCTAGAGGAGATCTGCATGGAGGAATGGGCCAAAATACCAGCAACAGTGTGTGAAAACCTTGTGAAGACTTACAGAAAACGTTTGACCTGTGTCATTGCCAACAAAGGGTATATAACAAAGTATTGAGAAACTTTTGTTATTGACCAAATACTTATTTTCCACCATAATTTGCAAATAAATTCATAAAAAATCCTACAATGTGATTTTCTGGAATTGTTTTACTCATTTTGTCTGTCATAGTTGACGTGTACCTATGATGAAAATTACAGGCCTCTCTCATCTTTTTAAGTGGGAGAACTTGCACAATTGGTGGCTGACTAAATACTTTTTTCCCCCGACTGTAGTTATTTTCCCCCACTGCGTTATCTCACAGATCATTCTTAATCTGACTGACCTGCTGTTTTCATACTGGCCACTTCCAAGTCCTGCCATTAGACGAATGAAACCATTAATTAAATGACAACTTTCCCGGTTGGAGAGGACCATCTTGCCCCGCCAAATCAATCAAGTATGGGTAATTGCATATGTGGAGTGTCTGAAAGTGGGCATTGCGAAATACAGTTGAAGTCGGAAGTTTACATACACCTTAGCCAAATACATTTAAACTCAGTTTTTCACAATTCCTGACATTTAATCTTAGTAAAAATTCCCTGTCTTAGGTCAGTTAGGATCATCACTTTATTTTAAGAATGTGAAATGTCAGAATAATAGTAGAGAGAATGATTTATTTAAGCTTTTATTTATTTCATCCCAGTGGATCAGAAGTTTACAGTGAGGGAAAAAAGTATTTGATCCCCTGCTGATTTTGTACGTTTGCTGTTAAAGGGAGTGCTCCTAATCTCAGTTTGTTACCTGTATAAAAGACACCTGTCCACAGAAGCAATCAATCAATCAGATTCCAAACTCTCCACCATGACCAAGACCAAAGAGCTCTCCAAGGATGTCAGGGACAAGATTGTAGACCTACACAAGGCTGGAATGGGCTACAAGACCATCGCCAAGCAGCTTGGTGAGAAGGTGACAACAGTTGGTGCGATTATTCGCAAATGGAAGAAACACAAAATAACTGTCAATCTCCCTCGGCCTGGGGCTCCATGCAAGATCTCACCTCGTGGAGTGGCAATGATCATGAGAACGGTGAGGAATCAGCCCAGAACTACACGGGAGGATCTTGTCAATGATCTCAAGGCAGCTGGGACCATAGTCACCAAGAAAACAATTGGTAACACACTACGCCGTGAAGGACTGAAATCCTGCAGCGCCCGCAAGGTCCCCCTGCTCAAGAAAGCACATATACATGCCCATCTGAAGTTTGCCAATGAACATCTGAATGATTCAGAGGAGAACTGGGTGAAAGTGATGTGGTCAGATGAGACCAAAATCGAGCTCTTTGGCATCAACTCAACTCGCCGTGTTTGGAGGAGGAGGAATGCTGCCTATGACACCATCCCCACCGTCAAACATGGAGGTGGAAACATTATGCTTTGGGGGTGTTTTTCTGCTAAGGGGACAGGACAACTTCACCGCATCAAAGGGACGATGGACGGGGCCATGTACCGTCAAATCTTGGGTGAGAACCTCCTTCCCTCAGCCATGGCATTGAAAATGGGTCATGGATGGGTATTCCAGCATGACAATGACCCAAAACACACGGCCAAGTCAACAAAGGAGTGGCTCAAGAAGAAGCACATTAAGGTCCTGGAGTGGCCTAGCCAGTCTCCAGACCTTAATCCCATAGAAAATCTGTGGAGGGAGCTGAAGGTCCGAGTTGTCAAACGACAGCCTCAAAACCTTAATTACTTGGAGAAGATCTGCAAAGAGGAGTGGGACAAAATCCCTCCTGAGATGTGTGCAAACCTGGTGGCCAACTACAAGAAACGTCTGACCTCTGTGATTGCCAACAAGGGTTTTGCCACCAAGTACTAAGTCATGTTTTGCAGAGGGGTCAAATACTTATTTCCCTCATTTAAATGCATATCAATTTATAACATTTTTGACATGCGTTTTTCTGGATTTTTGTTGTTGTTATTCTGTCTCTCACTGTTCAAATAAACCTACCATTAAAATTATAGACTGATCATTTCTTTGTCGGTGGGCAAACGTACAAAATCAGCAGGGGATCACATACTTTTTTCCCTCACTGTACATACAGTGGGGAGAACAAGTATTTGATACACTGCCGATTTTGCAGGTTTTCCTACTTACAAAGCATGTTGAGGTCTGTAATTTTTATCATAGGTACACTTCAACTGTGAGAGACGCAATTTAAAACAAAAATCCAGAAAATCACATTGTATGATTTTTAAGTAATTAATTTGCATTTTATTGCATGACATAAGTATTTGATACATCAGAAAAGCAGAACTTAATATTTGGTACAGAAACCTTTGTTTGCAATTACAGAGATCATATGTTTCCTGTAGGTCTTGACCAGGTTTGCACACACTGCAGCAGGGATTTTGGCCCACTCCTCCATACAGACCTTCTCCAGATCCTTCAGGTTTTGGGGCTGTCGCTGGGCAATATGGACTTTCAGCTCCCTCCAAAGATTTTCTATTGGGTTCAGGTCTGGAGACTGGCTAGGCCACTCCAGGACCTTGAGATGCTTCTTACGGAGCCACTCCTTAGTTGCCCTGGCTGTGTTTCGGGTCGTTGTCATGCTGGAAGACCCAGCCACGACACATCTTCAATGCTCTTACTGAGGGAAGGAGGTTGTTGGTCAAGATCTCGCGATACATGGCCCCATCCATCCTCCCCTCAATACGGTGCAGTCGTCCTGTCCCCTTTGCAGAAAAGCATCCCCAAAGAATGATGTTTCCACCTCCATGCTTCACGGTTGGGATGGTGTTCTTGGGGTTGTACTCATCCTTCTTCTTCCTCCAAACACGGCGAGTGGAGTTTAGACCAAAAAGCTCTATTTTTGTCTCATCAGACCACATGACCTTCTCCCATTCCTCCTCTGGATCATCCAGATGGTCATTGGCAAACTTCAGACGGGCCTGGACATGCGCTGGCTTGAGCAGGGGGACCTTGCGTGCGCTGCAGGATTTTAATCCATGACAGCGTAGTGTGTTACTAATGGTTTTCTTTGAGACTGTGGTCCCAGCTCTCTTCAGGTCATTGACCAGGTCCTGCCGTGTAGTTCTGGGCTGATCCCTCACCTTCCTCATGATCATTGATGCCCCACGAGGTGAGATCTTGCATGGAGCCCCAGACCGAGGGTGATTGACCGTCATCTTGAACTTCTTCAATTTTCTAATAATTGCGCCAACAGTTGTTGCCTTCTCACCAAGCTGCTTGCCTATTGTCCTGTAGCCCATCCCAGCCTTGTGCAGGTCTACAATTTTATCCCTGATGTCCTTACACAGCTCTCTGGTCTTGGCCATTGTGGAGAGGTTGGAGTCTGTTTGATTGAGTGTGTGGACAGGTGTCTTTTATACAGGTAACAAGTTCAAACAGGTGCAGTTAATACAGGTAATGAGTGGAGAACAGGAGGGCTTCTTAAAGAAAAACTAACAGGTCTGTGAGAGCCGGAATTCTTACTGGTTGGTAGGTGATCAAATACTTATGTCATGCAATAAAATGCAAATTAATTACTTAAAAATCATACAATGTGATTTTCTGGATTTTTGTTTTAGATTCCGTCTCTCACAGTTGAAGTGTACCTATGATAAAAATGACAGTCCTCTACATGCTTTGTAAGTAGGAAAACCTGCAAAATCGGCAGTGTATCAAATACTTGTTCTCCCCACTGTACACTCAATTAGTATTTGGTAGCATTGCCTTTAAATAGTTTAACTCGGGTAGCCTTCCTCAAGCTTCCCACAATAAGTTGGGTGAATTTTGGCCCATTCCTCCTGACAGAGCTGGTGTAACTGAGTGAGGTTTGTAGGCCTCCTTGCTCGCACATGGTTTTTCAGTTCTGCCCACACATTTTCTATAGGATTGAGGTCAGGGCTTTGTGATGGCCACTCCAATACCTTGACTTTGTTGTCCTTAAGCCATTTTGCCACAACTTTGGAAGTATGCTTGGGGTCATTGTCCATTTGGAAGACCCATTTACGACCAAGCTTTAACTTCCTGACTGATGTCTTGAGATGTTGCTTCAATATATCCACATAATTTTCCTTCCTCATGATGCCATCTATTTTGTGAAGTGCACCAGTCCCTCCTGCAGCAAAGCACCCCCACAGCATGATGCTGCCACCCCCGTGCTTCACGGTTGGGATGGTGTTCTTCGGCTTGCAAGCGTCCCCCTTTTTCCTCCAAACATAATGATGGTCATTATGGCCAAACAGTTCTATTTTTGTTTAATCAGACCAGAGAACATTTCTCCAAAAAGTACGATCTTTGTCCCCATGTGCAGTTGCAAACCATAGTCTGGCTTTTTTTATGGCGGTTTCGGAGCAGTGGCTTCTTCCTTGCTGAGCGGCCTTTCAGGTTATGACGATATAGGACTCGTTTTACTGTGGATAGAGATACTTTTGTACCTGTTTCCTCCAGCATCTTCACAAGGTCCTTTGCTGTTGTTCTGGGATTGATTTGCACTTTTCGCACCAAAGTACGTTCATCTCTAGGAGACAGAATGCGTCTCCTTCCTGAGTGGTATGACGGCTGCGTGGTCCCATGGTGTTTATACTTGCGTACTATTGTTTGTATAGATGAACGTGGTACCTTCAGGCATTTGGAAATTGCTCCCAAGGATGAACCAGACTTGTGGAGGTCTACAATTTCTTTTCTGATGTCTTGGCTGATTTATTTTCATTTTCCCATGATGTCAAGCAAAGAGGCACTGAGTTTGAAGGTAGGCCTTGAAATACATCCACAGGTACACCTCCAATTGACTCAAATTATGTCAATTAGCTTATCAGAAGCTTCTAAAGCCATGAGATAATTTTTTGGAATTGTCCAAGCTGTTTAAAGGCACAGTGAATTATAAGTGAAATAATCTGTCTGTAAACAATTGTTGGAAAAATTACTTGTGTCATGCACAAAGTAGATGTCCTAACTGACTTGCCAAAACTATAGTTTGTTAACAAGAAATGTGTGGAGTGGTTGAAAAATGAGTTTTAATAACTCCAACCTAAGTGTATGTAAACTTCCGACTTCAACTGTATACTGTAGTGTATCATGATCTGATGATTCCATATATCCAGTGGAAATGTCATAAAAAAACAGCCATCTGTCCCGAGCTCACTGGTGCAGGAAACTCGGAGGGCCCAGAATAGGCTAGTCAATACAATGTTGCAAGTTGACCCAGTTGATGATTTGATACAATGTTGCACTTCACTAGCAATAGCTCAAGTCAAGACAGATAGAAAGGGAGGCAAACAGGCGGAGTAGAGAGATGAATGTGAAATATTTTCTACTGTTTTTATTCGTCGGCTTTAGGCCTATATATTTTACTTAGTTGATGATGAAGTTATAGGCTTACTGCAGCATTGGCCTATAGGCTAATTTCTTTAGCCGCCAATGGATCATAGTTTACAGTATCAATGTGTCCATATGGCAGAGGCTGGTGCTCTCCTTTGGTTGAATTTTAACTTTTAGATTTGTATCGTTTTACTTAAGATTTTGATGATTAACCACATGAAAATGATTTTGAGCAACGATAATGTTATTATTGAAATGAAACTGTTCCACAAAAATGCACATATAAAAATAATAATAACTGCCACGCAGATCGATAAAACTGGTAGGATAAAGTGTAAGCTTCCCCAAACTTGAAACGCACGAGCTGCCTATGGTCTTCACTATAACACCCATAAAAAACGCGCAAGTGCGTACACACATGGGAGATACCGTGAAAAAAGCCTTCCAACTGATTCCTTCTGGCGCTGGCCCTGCCTGAAATTACAAGAGTTTGAATGAAATTGTCCCCAACCATAAAACAATTGCCCCATTCATGACACAGTAGACAACTTTTTAAAATTGTAATGTGAGTTTATACAGGGAATCTGAGGGCTGGAGTCAATCCGTATCGCAGAAGTATTGCATGAAAAGGTAATTTTTATTGCATGTAAAGTAGTGTTAATGGAAAGGTCATTTCAGATTGAATCGACATATGCAGCGTGAATGCAGTATCCGCGGACGCGGGAACATTGCCTATAAATTTCAACACGGATCTTCCGCGATACTAATGCAATACGGATTGAATCCAGCCCCGAATGTCATGTTGGTGAATATAAAAAAGTTAATTAACAAAAACGATCACAAAATGGCGTGGCATGTATTTTTTGCAACAAGTCCCAAGTCTTCCACTAAATCCAAACCTTGACATACAGAGGCACCTCTCTCTTAAATAGTTTCATTTACAGAATGAGAGTAATTTGTTATAAATATCAAGGCGCATATTATATATTAGCAATTATAAATGTATTGTTGATACAATTACAAAATAACAAAATGAGCCCAAACTAAATCAAGCAGAAATGCAAAAGACACAAATTATATTGGCAAACCAAGACATTAGTGGCACATAATGATAAATGAATAAATAAAGTGAAACTTTAAATGAATAGGCACTAGTTCGATCATTTCTGGCACACCAATACCATCCCTATGAATCTCGGCACAACTCTTTGATTCATTTTAAAGCACAAGAGGCAATGGCCACTAACCTATTGAACTTCCATTATTATCTTATTTAAGATGTCATGATCATTTATTCTCTCCGTCTTGACATAACATACACTGACACAATATTGTTGCAGGTTTTAAATGAACTACATCAAGCCTTTGCTGCATGCTCGAATCTCAGGGCTACAAGGGTGGAATTCTATGTGCATTAGTTCTGTTTTAGTGGGAGCACATGTCTCTGACTCTACTGTAGATAGCATATTCATCTAATGTGGGAGAGCAGATGGAACTAACTAACCAAACCAGAAGTAGATTTGGAGTGAGATTGTGACGACTACCAGTGATTGGCCCAGTTTGACATGACTACTGACTACCCAGCTCTGGAACAGATGTGATAGTCAGTCCAGGTTAAACCATAGTTATGGTTAAGGTCAGAGATGGGGCTTTGGCCTGTTTCTACCAGTCACCTGTGTGTTCAACATAAAAACATTAAACACTCAAATGTCCTGTTATGAAACCATCTAAAAAGACTTTGGAGAATAAGCTTTGCAGTTGAGGTTCAAAATGTTAATTTTTTCAAATGATTCAAATCAATAGAAAACGAATACTGAAAATGTATATTTGGAAAAGGAACTCTAAATAATTATTTGAATAAATAATGTCCAAAACAAACATTAATACATTCTAGTTGTCTCACAAGTGGAAAAAACTATGATTTGACAACACAACCATACTGTGGTGCGTTCACTTCGTAAAACGTTCACAACAATTCTTTAACATTAAGGGAACATTACATCATCATAGAGATCTCTGATAAAGGCATCTGTTAAGAACAGACTGCAAAAAGAGAAATGTGTACAAACATTTCAACCTGAGGGAGGTGAAAATATAGAGGGAGACAAGGGAAGGAGGAAGGGAGAGATGGAGAGAAGCATTGTGTGATTGACTGATGGCTGAACAGACACACTGAGGCAGGTGATAGTGCCCTCTGGAGGCGCCGTGATGCTGGAGCTTGGCTGGTTTCTTTGGCATCTCTGGGCTTCCGCCTGCCAGCCCTGCCTGGCCCCTTGGTCAGTGCTATACAGGACCCTTGGGACATCCCTACCCTAAACCTATGTTTATGTTATGTATGATGATTGAGGCGCTATACAAATTTGACAGTAACAACCTCTCACATAGCCTTAATATTAACTCATGCAGAATTAAGCATTTCTTGAAGTACAATTATACACCAAATGTAGGCAACATTGACTCCGGAGCAGGAGTGGAGAAATATTATTGATTTCTTTCATCATCATGAGAGAACAGCGAATGCGCAGTTAGATTCCGTTTGTAGAGGCACTTTATCAGCATCATAAAAGCTGATAGTATTTCAACCACATAAAATATGCATCCAAGGCGAACTGAAACCTTATCAGAAATATGTTGGGTCGTTTTCACAGCATTCAATTTCCTTACAACCGGTCAAACTGATGTAATTTGGAAATTATGCATAGAAAATCGTTCCCGTTTATATTTTAGTTATTGCATTTCTCCCCGGTCCCTAAACGTATTTTCTCCGTGAAAGAAGCAGATGACAGAAAACTTTAACGATGTCAATTAAATTACAGCATTCAATCTTTTGATTTATGACATTCTGGTGAGCAAGGGTTTACTTAGTCTTCTAGGACTACATATAATGACAAGATATCAGCGGGTGCGGTTGAACAAACAGCTGACCTGCGCACCACTAGTAGGGACGTCCCAAGGAACCGGGATAGCACGGACCCTGGCCCCTTCAGAACCTATCCACACAGATACACACACCATGTTGCTTCAGATGTTCAGATCATGTTCCTCATGATAGTACTAAGAATTTGACTTGTGTCTTTGATATAGTTTCTTGATTCATGGTAAAAGTAATCTTGGTTGATAAAGTGCCGCATTGTAATGTTTGTCTGCCTCTTTGTGCTGATGAGAGAGCAACAGTGCCCCCTGCTGGTCAGGCCAGCCTCAGTAGCAGCCCTCTCTCCAGTTCTCTCCTTCCCTTCCGCCACTGTAGGTCCGAGGGGCAGGTAAAGACCTGGGGAAGAGAAGATCCAGAGAAACAGATTAGTTCTACGCATGAGTAAAAAGGTCTGATACACCTGTAACCAACTGACATGACACCTAAACTTGCTTTGAAGTTGTGTGTAATGTGTGTCCCTACCTGCGTACTGGCTGGGCCAGTTTGCTGCGAGGCACGGGGATGCCTCCACCCCCTCCTCCTCCTGCACTGGGCCGGGGCAGGCCACTGCGTGCTGGGCCCAGGGAGCGTGTGGGGGTGGAGGCTCCAGAGCCGGGGGTAGATGTAGCCTTCACAGGCTGCCTCAGGGCCAGGGGAGACGTGGTGGTTGGGGTTCGCAGCTTACTGGGAGAAGGGACTGGAGGGGCAGGAGAGAGAGGGGAGGAGACAGGTCAGTACAGTACACTGTAGTATGAAGAGATGGCTTATAGATGATGGCACAGTTTTATACCCACAACAGAGATCTGTGGTCTCAGTGGCCCGCCAAGCAATGAACAACACAATGATCTGAGGCACATATGATACAAATACAATGTATATGAGAACAATGTAGACCATCACCTACTATGCATTCAGAACCATTCTTCAAATAATCTAATGTGATGGAATTTTGCATTAAATCACAATAACCATATAAAATAAAGAAAAATAAAACGAGGAATGAAAACGAGGCCTTGTATAAAGTCTATACAAACTGTACAAACTCCCACGATGCTTGTTCATGTGTAGGATGAGGCACACATGCCCTCTGGTGATAGGAAGGGCACAGATAATACCACAACATTAACACATCACATCATGAGAGCACAATCACAATATATAAAAGTTGGGAGCATGACCAGTGAATACTCACTGAAATCCCCTTCTTCTCCAAAGCAACAGGAAAGATGGACTAAACAAAGATGAAGACAGGAGATATTTGACTTCATTCAGAACAGCAGAAGAAAGTGTAGGCTAATAGATGATATGGATGGAAAAAGACCTTGAGACTAAAAAGTCTCTCCGAGCCCATAATAAAAAGCATACCATCTAGTTACCAATACAGGTCTACACGTAAACTAATCCATGGACAACTTCAAGTACACTGAACAAAAATATAAAACGCAACATGCAACAATTTCAAAGATTTTACCAAAAGTTACAGTTCATATAAGGAAATCAGTCAATTTAAATAAATAAATGAGGCCCTAATCTGTGGATTTCACATGACTGGGAATACAGATATGCATCTGTGGGTCACAGATACCTTAAAAAAAAAAAAGGGGCATGGATCAGAAAACCAGTCAGTGTCTGATGTGACCCCTATTTGCCTCATGCAGTGTGACATCTCCTTCGCATGATTGTGGCCTGTGGAATGTTGTCCCACTCCTCTTGAATGGCTGTGCGAAGTTGCTGGATATCGGCGGGAACTGGAACACGCTGTTGTACACGTCGATCCAGAGCATCCCAAACATGCTCAATGGGTGACATGTCTGAGTATGCAGGCCATGGAAGAACTGGGACATTTTCAGCTTCCAGGAATTGTGTATAGATCCTTGCGACGTGGGGCCGTGCATTATCATGCTGAAACATGAGGTGATGGTGGTGGATGAATGGCATGACAATGGGCCTCAGGATCTTGTCACGGTATCTCTGTGCATTCAAATTGCCATCGATAAAATGTAATTGTGTTCGTTGTCCGTAGCTTATGCCTGCCCATACCATAACCCCACCGCCACCAGGGCACTCTGTTCACAAAGTTGACATCAGCAAACCGCTCGCTCACACGGCGCCATCTTCCCGGTACAGTGGAAACCGGGATTAATCCGTGAAGAGCACACTTCTCCAGCGTGCCAGTGGCCATCGAAGGTGAGAATTTGCCCACTGAAGTTGGTTACGACGCCGAACTACAGTCAGGTCAAGACCCTGGTGAGGACGACGTGCACGCAGATGAGCTTCCCTGAGATGGTTTCTGACAGTTTGTGCAGAAATTCTTCAGTTGTGCAAACCCACAGTTTCATCAGCTGTTCGGGTGGCTGGTTTCAGACGATCCCGCAGGTGAAGAAGCTGGATGTGGAGGTCCTGGGCTGGCGTGGTTACATGTGGTCTGCGGTTGTGTGGCCGGTTGGACGTACTGCCAAACTCTCTAAAACGACGTTGGAGGTGGCTTATGGACATTCAATTCTCTGGCAACAGCTCTAGTGGACATTCCTGCAGTCAGCATGCCAATTGCAAGCTCCCTCAACTTAAGACATCTGTGGCATTGTGTTGTGTGACAAAACTGCACATTTTAGAGTGGCCTTTTATTGTCCTCAGCACAAGGTGCACCTGTTTAATCAGCTTCTTGATATGCCAGACCTGTTAGGTGGATGGATTATCTTGGCAAATGAGAAATGCTCACTAATAGGGATGTAAACAAATTTGTACACAACATTTTTGAGAAATACGTTTGTGCGTATAGAACATTTCTAGGATCTTTTATTTCAGCCCATGAAACATGGGACCAACACTTTACATGTTGTGTTTATATTTTTGTTCAGTATAAATGTGAACCTTCTGCTTGATCTAGTCATCCAACCAAATCAGCAACCATTGCCAAGAAGAGGAATGACTGCAATGTGGCCAACCACATCAGCTGTGCCATCAGAAACTGAGATGATTTCAAACATAATCTGAAACAGCCTTGAGGTTTGGGAGCCCAAAGGCATTCCAGAACCACAGGGTTTCTCAGCAGGTTCTCCCCATCACCACTAGGGGGGAGACATGAGTTATCTGTTCTGCTCAGACCAGACCCAACAGGCCCACCCTACAAGAACACCATGGAGACACTCAAAACCATCCCAGAAGCTGCCTAAACTGACAAAGTGACCATCCCAGAAAACAATTGCTTGCCTTGCAAATCCGGAGACAACTGTACCAAATTTCCCGGCACTTTGTATTGGGTCGAGTGCATGCAGGTACGTCACACAGTAAAACCCAAAATGCTTTACGTTTGGTAAAGAACGTGGTCATGTGTGTATTACTCAGGATGAATGTGTATGTAGGGGACCCTACTCATCAGGTGGATCATCCCAGGCACTGGCAGGCTGTTACCTCGGAGGGAAGAAGGGCTTTGGATGGGCTGTTTGGGTTTCGGGGACAGTAAGGATCGAGCGGGAGTTCCTGTTTGGGAGGAGCGAGGGGGGGTGGAGTACCGGGAGTGGAGTGGAGAGGAGGAGTGCTGGGCTACTGGGGAAAAATGGAGATGACAGTTGGGGAGAAACAGAGTCAATCCTTTCTGTTTTGTTACTGGACCAGGGAGAAGATGACGAGATAGGGTTGAACCAGGCAGCCAGAGGGGAAGGAGGGGTTGTGTGAGGCAGTGAGGCCACTGAGTCAGCCAAGCCAGGCTTATAGTCATTCCCAGCCAAAGGTAAAAGAGCAGCCTGAAACACTAGGCATTCACAGTGGGGTGGGGGTGGGGGTGGGGGGGAGAGCGAGACACACACACACACACACACACACACTGCCAGGGGTAAAGTACTTCCAGAGCTGAGCTGGGCCAACACTAGGCCAAACCACTACCAGTGCCTCAGTAGAAAGAGAGCGGTGGGTGAAAGGCAGCACATGCTCTACTGTCAGATAGAGAGGCAGGGATAGTGGTGTCATACTGCCCACCACAGCCAGAAAAAGCCCAGAGAAGTACAGGAGACGACTAAGTGTCAAGAGCAAAACAGTGACATAGTACAGGATAGTACAGAACATATACACATTCACAAAGTGTTCCGCTTCACTTACACATACTTAATTATCAGTGTATAAAAAGCTGTTTAACTAACAGATTAATTGATACAGATTACACGTCCTTTGTCCAGCAGCCTTTTCTCCTTCAGGTGTCTGAGTGGGGATTAGTTATATGGATTAAAATACAACACTACCATTACTCATTCACTGTGGGGGTGTATCTCTTATTCTAGGGTTATAGTAAATGGCCACTCTAGGAGAGAATTCAGTTGGTGGTTATTTCAAAAGAGCATTCAGTGTTTTATTCAGTTCTCTCTACATTCTAAATATACATCCTCACAATAACCTACTTTTAAATCTCTTGATTCTAATTGATTTGGGTAAAAAGGAGACGAGTGCACGGAAGGAGAAATTATTAAAATGATCAAACAGAGAGAATCCCAAACCATCAAAGCCAAGACACTAAAAAGCAAGAGCTTTAATAAGGGGGAGCCTGAGAGGGATGCATGGTATGCACCGACTAGCTAGAACATCACAACACATTACTCCTATCATAACATTACTGCTGTTGAATATGCTTGAGAAACAAAAACGTTATTTGTCAGTATACAAGAGAGAATAATATGAAAATGAAAGCATGTCTTGGATTGCGATAACCGAGTGAACAGGCAATATGGATATTGTGTGTGTGTAGTACCCACTGGCAGACTGACTGACTGCCTGGTGTCTGGGTGAGCCTCCATTTGGCACTAGCAGGTTGGACTCACAGCTCCTGCTGTTCTTGACGGGCTCTGGGCCCTGCTGGGCCACGTTGGAGCGGGTCAGGTTAGGAAGACTACGCCCCAGCTTCTCTACAAACACCACAGCAGAGGAAAACAACTGAAAACAGGTCTGAATAGCTACACAATGGTGCTCATTTGAACCAGAATGGATAGACAATATGAATCCATATAGTTTGTCCTCCACATAACAATGAACTAACCCCAACCCAAATCCATTTCCCCTCTCTAGTCACTCAGTCCCCCCCTCTCCGCTGTAGTCAGCCAGTGTCACCTTACCTTCGTTCTTCACCACGTTGGTCTGCAGGTCTTGGGGGGCGTGGCCCTGCAGGGAGTGACGTGGTGCCTGCAGCCGGCTGATGATTGGCTGCGGGGAGCCCCGGCTGTGGTTGTACTCCAGGGAGCGTGCTGGGGAGCGGGAGCGGGGGGAGTTCCTGGGGGAGGCGTGGGGGGAGTGTCTGGGGGAGTGGGAGAAGCGGTTTGAGGGGGGGTGGAAGGCGGGGTGTACAGCCTCCTCATCGTCCTCTAGACTGTGGGCGTCCAGCTCCTGGTCACTGAAGGTGCTGCGTCTCAGAGAGTGGCAGGACGAACCAGAGCTACGTCTGGACGCTGTGGCAGCATAGTCCTGCCGAAGACCTGGAAACAAACACAGGGAAACGCTCAGAACATACACTGCTAGTACAGTGTGTACAAAGAAAGTCAGTATAAACACTCAGCATCTGACAGGTGGGTAAATGGTTTCTCGTAATATTGTGAAACATGAGAGAAATAAGAAACCCGCACACTGCTCTTGCTAGTATCACTGCTCTTTATTAAGCTTTACGTATCAGTCTCAAGGCCTTCCTCAGAGCTTTTGTGAGCGTTTTTAATTTGCACCCTTATGTAGACACTGCTCCACCCCCATCCGTTCCGTGCACCGAATGGGATTGGAGTCAAGGAAAAATAAACATATGTTACCAAATATAACAATGTACAATACATAAATATTCGAATAAAGTGTGTACATAAAAACTTTATTAAACACGTCTGTAAAACCACAATGAGGACATCGACCTATCAAGTAAGTTTTCATAAATCATTGGGCACAGTTCAGGATAAAAACAGAGTAGGATGAAGTGATTAAGGACAAGGCATTCGTTCATGTTCACATTTACAACATAACATACATGGGCATTTCTCATTAAGACCTTTTGAGAATATCTGGAGGGTGAAAATCCAAAAACACTATATTTAGCTCAGACTATTAATTATATCACCTTCCCTGTCTGATATCTTAACTTTCTCTATGCCACAAAATCTAAATGGAATAAATGTGGTTTCTCCTAATTGAACTGGTAATATTGTGGACAAACAGAGTTAGAAGATGGTACATACTCTCCTCCTGCATTCGAGCCAGGATCTGGACATCAGTGACATCGTTGAGTTTGTACGTGGTGGAGGATCCAACAGAGTCCTCGTCCATCTCAGAGGTGCTCAGCTCACTGTCTATTGAAGACTGAGGGCTGACCGGTGGGGGGTTCCTCTCTCTCTCTACTGAGCCACCACGCTGCTGCTGCTGCGCTGCTGGGGACACACACATTTATAGTATTCATACTTAATAATAATCATTCATAATCATTTAGGTGAGCTTATGTTTGAACATAAAGAGAAAGGGATTCAGGAGAGAGTTAAAGACATGCTTTATGCCTATAAAGCATGCATTTAACTCTCCTGTATCCAGTGTACAGTACCTTGGTTGACAGGGGGCATCAGCTGCTGTCTGACGATGGGCACCCTGCTGGGGGTGGAGGAGGGGGAGTTGAAGCCGCTGCTGTAGGGGCTGTTCACTGTGTTTGTGCTGTATGGGCTTCCGTAGTTCACCTGGGGACTGTAGGGACTTCCATACAGGCTCCTACGCTTGTTTGCTGTGGAGAGAGAAGAGAATTGCTATGAACATACTGTGCTGATATGGTCCCTTCACATAGACAGTGTGGTGAAGAAGGCGCAACAGCTCCTCTTCAACCTCAGGAGGCTGAAGAAAGACCCTCACAAACTTTTATAGATGTACCATTGAGAGCATCCTGTCAGGTTGTATCACCGCCTGGTACGGCAATTGCACCGTCTGCAACCGAAGAGCTCTCCAGAGGGTGGTGTGGTCAGCCCAACCCATCACCAGGGGAACACTGCCTGCCCTCCAGGACATCTACAGCACCTGGTGCCACAGGAAGGCCAAGAAGATCATCAAGGACCTCAGCCACCCGAGCCACGGCCTGTTCACCCTGCTACCATCTAGAAGGAGGAGTCAGTACAGGGACTGAGAGACTGATAAACAGCTTCTATCTCCAGGCCATCAGACTGTTAAATAGTCACCACTAGCCGGCCTCCGCCCAGTACCCTGCCCTGAACCTTAGTCACTGATACTAGCCGGCTACCACCCAGTACTCTACCCTGCACCTTAGAGACTGCTGCCCTATGTACATACGAGTCATTGAACACTGGTCACTTTAATAATGTTTACATACTGTTTTACCCACTTTATATGTATATACTGTATTCTAGTCATGGCTCATCCTATATAACTACTGCTGTACACAACCTTTCTATTCATATTCTGTCTATACACATCATTATATATATTCTGGACTCTGACATTGCTCTTTCTGATATTTCTTAATTTCTTTATTTTTGGATTATGTGTGTATTGTTTTGCATTACAGCACTGTTGGAGCTAGAAACACAAGCATTTCACTGTACCTGCGATAACATCTGCAAATCAATAAACTTTGATTTTATAGCCTATAACTACATTTACATTTTTAGTCATTTAGCAGACGTTCTTATCCAGAGCGACTTACAGTTAGTGAGTGCATACATTTTCATACATCACATAAGGGATTGTTGTACAGCCAGTAATCTACATTGTAATTACCAATTATTCACTGAGATAATATCTTACATGGGAAGTCATTGCAGGCATTACCGGTTGCCCCCTTAGAGGGACTAGTTTAATAACAGTGAGTGCGGTTACATGCACACAATGCGATTAGTGTGAATAGTCAGATTAATATAATAGTTAGATTAAAACGTTTACATGCTTTGCAAGAAGAACAATTTCCCTAATAATCCTGTTTACATGGACACATCTGAAATCAGGCTACCTGATAGCACTCTGATAAACGCAGATAATCGCCTATTAAAATAAACGTTCTACCACAGCGAACATGTTATATTTGATTCTGAGTTTGGACATGTAAAGTTTGTATGTGAAAATGTATTCTAAGACGCATACATTCAGTTGTTCCGAACACACTTCACTCGCGCTAAAGAGGGAGGCTCACCCGGCTTGTGCTAGCACATGGGCAGATCATATACACTGCTGGAACACCGATTAAAAGGAGTTTACATGTCCTAATAATTTGAAAGATTGCTCAGAAAACCAGGTGTTTTAATCAGCGTATGCTTACTTCGATTTTGACCTTACACCGATTAAGATAAGTATGGTGTTTACATGACTATTGTAATCTGCCTACTGACATAATCTGTTTAATATCAAATTATTATTGTACATATAAACGTACTCAATGTGAGCCAGCTGACTTATCAGGGGACATACACAAGCTGCATTATACCAACCATTGACACAAACACTAATGTGCACACAGTCACACACATCATCTCTCTGAGTCCTCTCCACTCTAGTGTGTTGGCAGTGGTGCACATTCTAGAGTCACTTAATGCGTATGGCAGGCGTGGGCTTCCTTATCATGGACTGGAGAAAGAGTTAACAATACGGCCCGTTCACTCAGTAGTACAGTCAGAGCAGCACAATGCAGCACTGTGATCCCCAGCTATCCACAGAGACTCCATACAGCCAGCTAGTCAGTCAGTCAGTTAGTCCCAGGTAGGCAGACTAACCATGGAGCCTGCCTCAGCTCAGGCATTAGACCAGGCCTGGCTGGCTGCTCTGACAGGGATACAACTCACTGGACATCACTGTTGACTGCTGTACTGCAGTCCCTCTAGGGACAGCTCAGCCCGCAGTGCTGCATACACTCCAATCTCCAGGGCCACTTGTTTGCTCACCTCCCTCCCTCCCTCCCTCCCTCCCTCCATGTGTTTCCACAGCTGGGTGGTGACTGGAAAGAAGCCTTTTATTATCAACTCGTTCTCCTTTCATCTCATATTTTCATGCTCTGCACTCGGTCCTACCGCATTATTTAGGAAATAACAACATGTCCACTCAACTCACTCACTTCCTTTAGAGATCAGCCATTGAGGAATACTAGGTTCACAACAACATGACACTACCTGCATGCTTAAGCCTTAACCAGGGACACAAGTACTGACTTCCACACCTCTTGATCACTTTGCCCTCTGTTGATTCCCAGATAAACTCATGATAATCTCAGTGTCCGACCTATGTAAAACCATGACCTCACCAGAGGTATATCTTGTGAAATTGTTAAGATTTTACTTGTTAGATATTACTGCACTGTCGGAGCTAGAAGCACAAGGATTTCGCTACACCCGCATTAACATCTGCTAAACACGTGTATGTGACAAATAACATTTGATTTGATTTAGTACAGATTCTGTCCAAACTCCCAGTGCTGAGAGAGTGCTACTTAAAGCTCAGATATGTACAACAATTGTGTTGTGGTATGATCAACATTATACCTATAGGCCTACATACAGGATATAGGTCCTCACATACAGAGACAGCTGATAGGGATCGAACACAGTGAGTTAAAGGAGGGAGTTACCTGCCTCTGAGTGCCACCTCCATGTGTCAGCTGTGACGCAGAACACAAGCCCTGGCAACGCATTGTGGGGGCCAACCTCTGACCTCTGGAGACAGACATAGCGGAGTGTGTGACCCTAAAGTGGACACCTATCAGTTGTTGATTTACAAACCACAAGTAAAAGGACAGTGTTTCAGAGGGTGCATTCAGAGCTGTTCCCCCATGTATCCTATGGTACCAGGCTAGCCGGGGGTGAATGATTTAAGGGCTAGGAGGTGATTAGACGGAGCAGCTTAGCTCTACAGTAAATCAGTAGGAGGAGATTGGAGACCGCCTACAGTCAGTGTGTTGCTGGCTGGGTCTCAGCAGGGATTTGCAGCACAGGGACCAACTAAAATAGTGTCGTCCTAAAATACTGTGTCCTAAAAAAACTCCTACAAATCTGCCTTAGGCCTAAAAACTAGATAACATTTATATTGCATTTATTTACCTATCATACTTCCTCAACATTGAACACTTGCTCCCTCCATGCTAAAACCATTCCATAACACTATGAAGTTTATTTTACCCTTATTTTACCAGATAAGTTGACTGAGAACACATTCTCATTTACAGCAACGACCTTGGGAATAGTTACAGGGTAGAGGAAGGGGGATGAATGAGCCAACTGGAAGCTGGGGATGATTGGTGGCCATGATGGTATGAGGGCCAGATTGGGAATTTAGCCAGGACACCGGGGTTAACACCCCTACTCTTACGATAAGTGTCATGGGATCTTTAGTGACCACAGAGAGTCAGGTCACCCGTTTAACATCCCATCCAAAAGACGGCACCCTACACAGGGCAATGTCCCCAATCACTGCCCTGGGGCATTGGGATATTTTCTTAGACCAGAGGAAAGAGTGCCTCCTACTGGCCCTCCAACACCACTTCCAGCAGCATCTGGTCTCCCATCCAGGGACCAACCCTGCTTAGCTTCAGAGGCAAGCCAGCAAAGATATTCAGGAGTATAACCACTATTTCAATTCATTTGTAGCCAAGAGACAAGCAGTAATAAACACTCTTTCCCAGCTGATGGTTTGGCTGCAGAACCTTCAGTTTCCACTGGAATTAGCCTAGACAGCATGGCGTCAGTGACAGACAGGACAGAACAAGCAAACCCAGAGATTGCGAGGTCTGATTAAACAGCTCAGATGGACAGAGAAAATGTAAACAATACCTGGCATTGAAGGCTCCTTAAAGTTAAAAAGAAAGGGTTCTTGAGATGGACTGGGCCAGCTAGCTCAGAACATTTCACATGAGGAGAGGGCAACAGAAGCCTTTATTGTGTGGCTCAGGGAGAGAAAGAAAATGAGGGGAGAGATGAACAAAGTGAAAGAACATGACCTAGAGAAGGTGGAAATATCCAATCCATTATAGCTTATGTACGGAAACAGTAGCCACATGTTAGGCTGAGCATGGCTAGATTGGCCAGCTATCCGCCTGGGGTTAGGGACTTTCTGCTGTAGAGAAGAACTGTGTGGGTGGAATCTGTGGACGTTTGTCAAAGCACTGTTCCGAAGGCTCCATTCTGAATCCAGCCCAGCATTACAGGACTGGTACTGGCAGGAGAGTCCCCGGCCCGGGCCATTCTTTAGTTCCTGCTACGCTTTCAGTTTTATAATGTCATGACAACACCCAGAATACATTTTTGCAGAATTTCTAAATGTTTGATAACACTTCACTAATGAAACTAGAGTGTCTAATACCTATATTTAACTCGACTATGTCGGAAAATAAAACCATTCGTCCCTGTTTCCAGTTTGTTATGTAACTGGGGCATGGCATTTAAGGGATCGCATTGTTTACATTTCACAGGGAGTCTACCGACACAACCTTGGTTACCATGGGCAAGCTAAAACAAAAGTACACACACATTCACATTTCAGTAAGCAAGCAATCACCCTGGGCCTTTCTTCCAACAGTTTGGGTGTTTCTCATGGACATTGAAGGCTAAACACTCTGAAAGGGTCTTCCATAAGCATTTCAAAGCATTGAAAATAAACTTATGATGTGGTCCAAATGTACTGTCAAGCTGTGTATTACATTAGTCATGAGCCAGACGTGATGCCCTGCTCTGTGAAATTCCTTCACCCGTGCAAACAGTCCTCACACAACACCATGGCAACAGATTTTCACACACTCTAGATGGTGTGTCACTGAGGAGCCCACATACAGTACAACCACACAATACGCTTGCTAGAGGCATAGGACACGCCTAGGCCCGCTCTGCCCGTCATGTGGTTGAGGTGCAGCAATGTGGGCCTGTTTGAAGCTGTTCGACAGCTGTATACCTCTCCTCCCCTCAGGTACAGTGAGGGAAAAAAGTATTTGATCCCCTGCTGATTTGTACATTTGCCCACTGACAAAGAAATGATCAGTCTATAATTTTAATGGTAGGTTTATTTGAACAGTGAGAGACAGAATAACAACAACAAAATCCAGAAAAATGCATGTCAAAAATGTTATAAATTGATTTGCATTTTAATGAGGGAAATAAGTATTTGACCCCTCTGCAAAACATGACTTAGTACTTGGTGGCAAAACCCTTGTTGGCAATCACAGAGGTCAGACGTTTCTTGTAGTTGGCCACCAGGTTTGCACACATCTCAGGAGGGATTTTGTTCCACTCCTCTTTGCAGATCTTCTCCAAGTCATTAAGGTTTCGAGGCTGACGTTTGGCAACTCGAACCTTCAGCTCCCTCCACAGATTTTCTATGGGATTAAGGTCTGGAGACTGGCTAGGCCACTCCAGGACCTTAATGTGCTTCTTCTTGAGCCACTCCTTTGATGCCTTGGCCGTGTGTTTTGGGTCATTGTCATGCTGGAATACCCATCCACAACCCATTTTCAATGCCCTGGCTGAGGGAAGGAGGTTCTCACCCAAGATTTGACAGTACATGGCCCCGTCCATCGTCCCTTTGATGCGGTGAAGTTGTCCTGTCCCCTTAGCAGAAAAACACCCCCAAAGCATAATGTTTCCACATCTATGTTTGACGGTGGGGATGGTGTTCTTGGGTTCATAGCCAGCATTCCTCCTCCTACAAACACAGCGAGTTGAGTTGATGCCAAAGAGCTCCATTTTGGTCTCATCTGACCACAACACTTTCACCCAGTTCTCCTCTGAATCATTCAGAAGTTCATTGGCAAACTTCAGACGGCCCTGTATATGTGCTTTCTTGAGCAGGGGGACCTTGCGGGCGCTGCAGGATTTCAGTCCTTCACGGCGTAGTGTGTTACCTGTTGTTTTCTTGGTGACTATGGTCCCAGCTGCCTTGAGATAATTGACAAGATCCTCCCGTGTAGTTCTAGGCTGATTCCTCACCGTTCTCATGATCATTGCAACTCCACGAGGTGAGATCTTGCATGGAGCCCCAGGCCGAGGGTGATTGACAGTCTTTTGTGTTTCTTCCATTTGCGAATAATCGCACCAACTGTTGTCACCTTCTCACCAAGCTGCTTGGCGATGGTCTTGTAGCCCATTCCAGCCTTGTGTAGGTCTACTTGTCCCTGACATCCTTGGAGAGCTCTTTGGTCTTGGCCATGGTGGAGAGTTTGGAATCTGATTGATTGATTGCTTCTGTGGACAGGTGTCTTTTATACAGGTAACAAACTGAGATTAGGAGCACTCCCTTTAAGAGTGTTCTCCTAATCTCAGCTCGTTACCTATATAAAAGACACCTGGGAGTCAGAAATCTTTCTGATTGAGAGGGGGTCAAATACTTATTTCCCTCATTAAAATGCAAATCAATTTATAACATTTTTGACATGCGTTTTTCTGGATTTTGTTGTTGTTATTCTGTCTCTCACTGTTCAAATAAACCTACCATTAAAATTATAGACTGATCATTTCTTTGTCAGTGGGCAAACGTACAAAATTAATCATTAATTAATTAATCAGGGGATCAAATACTTTTTTCCCTCACTGTATAGGCAGTTAGAAGCCAGTCAGCAGGTGGGTCCTTTAACCCTTTGTTACCTGCATATTGTACAGGAGCTATATAGCCTGCATTGCTGTTTTCTGAATGTTCACACATACCTCAATAATTTATTGACCTGTTGCTGATAATAAGCAGTGCAAAAAGCAACCAGCTGATTGATCTCTAGAACCTCCCTTTGTCCTTAGAGTGAGGTGGAGATTGGGGGGGGGGCAGTTACTTGAAGCATTAGATGTCCAAATGTATGGGTAACATTATCCTCTCCTTAGGAGGATATCAACCACCACCCATCCTTCCCCTCCCCTGATTGCTCCTGTGAGTAGTAATACCCATCCATATTATGTATGGGTCACCCACCGGAGCCTCAGAGCCTGTTGTGGTCTATTAACAGTCTGAGTTGAACTTCGGTGTGTGATACATAACTCCAAAGGGCACTCACAGGAAGGGGATGTGAGGGGAACAGGTCAGGTGTTGACTCTATGTCAGGACAGGAACCCCATGGTCCTGTGGGTGCCGTCTGTCTGTCTGTCCAGGGGGTCTGTGACTGGGGGTGTTGCGTAACTACTAGTGTCACGTGATCAGTCACCGTTACGAAGCACACACCGGTTTAGGGATAGCAACCTTCAACAAACTGTTGCTCAATACAATATGTGCGTCACATGAGCATACCTCTGTAAAAATGGAACTGGCCTATCTCACTTTAGCCGGGAGGATTTGGAGCCTTGCTGTCCTGATTGTCTATTATTAGCTGTCATAATACGCAGAGAGACATAGATAGAATCCACACTCATACTGGCCATGATAATGCAATAAATACACTCATAGAGCACAGTTCCTACTACAAAACAAAAGCATATTTGTCCTAGATGTGTACATGCTTGTTTGGAGAAAAGCTGAGAAGAGACAGGAGGAGAAGAGAGGAGGAGAAGCAAGAGGGGAGAGAAGAGAGGAAACAGGAGAGGAGGAGGAGAATGGAGAGGATCGAGGAAGGAGAAGAGAGTAGAGAAGCGTGGTGATAGTACCTGACATGGTGAGGTCCAGTCTGTGGATGAGGGAGCGCTTGGCTGACTCCATGTCAGGACTGGGGTTGTCCAGAGCTTGGCGACACCACACGATGGGACTCAAGGCTTTCTGCAGCGGGCTGTTCAGCTTCGCCTCATACAGCCTGGACGAACACAACACACATCAACACACACATCAATGGACATGGCACACAAACATTCAAGTGTTTAAGAGTAGTGCTGGAAACTATGTTCCTGTGTTTTGTTTATTGAGTAAAAAAGTTTGCTTGCCCTTGGTCTTCACTGTAGGTGGAAATGCATTAGCTAACATTTGCTCGTGCATGGCCCTTTTGCAAGGTGGACAAATCAAATCAAATTTTCTTTGTCACGTGCGCTTATTCAACAGGTGTAAATCTTACCGTGAAATGCTTACTTACAAGCCCTTAACCAACAATGCAGTTAAGAAAAATATTTACTAAATAAACTAAAGTAAAAAATAAAAGAGTAACAATAAAATAACAATAACGAGGCTATATACAGGGGTTACCGGTACCGAGTCAATGTGCGGGGGTACAGGTTAGTCGAGGTAATTGAGGTAATATGTACATGTAGGTAGGGGTAAAGTGACTATGCATAGATAATAAACAGCGAGTAGCAGGAGCGTAAAAAAGGGGGGGAGACGGTACCGCTTGCTGTGCGGTAGCAGAGAGAACAGTCTATGACTAGGGTGGCTGGAGTCTTTGACAATTTTTAGGGCCTTCCTCTGACACCGCCCGGTATAGAGGTCCTGGATGGCAGGAAGCTTGGCCCCAGTGATGTAATGGGCCGTATGCACTACCCTCTGTAGCGCCTTGAGGTCGGAGGCCGAGCAGTTGCCATACCAGGCGGTGATGCAACCAGTCAGGATGCTCTCGATGGTGCAGCTGTAGAACTTTGATGATCTGAGGACCCATGCCAAATCTTTTGAGTCTCCTGAGGGGGTATAGGCGTTGTCGTGGCCTCTTCATGACTTCACCAGCCCTCCTTCATGAATATAATGCTGTCCAGTGGACAAATTGCTAACCAGGCAAGGCAGGCTGAGGCTGGCTGGGATAATGATGACAACAATCAATAAGGTGAGAGACCTGATGATAATCAGTGGAAATAGATGTGATGAGGGGTGATGCAGGTTTGGTGAGTGTTATAAACTGCTTAGGCCTATATCTCATCACAGCTGCTATGGCTGATACTTAGGCCTGCCTTATACTGAGAGAGAAAGTGCCTATACCAGGAAGAGGAATCTGAGTCAGCTTTGTCTCAGCCACAGAGAAAACCTCCCACATGAGAGTCCTCAAATAAGCACTGAACAACAATAACACTAAAGCCTACTATTAAACAGAAAGATGTAGGCCTAGATTCTATACATTATGGGCATTCTAAAAGTATGCCACATCGAGAATCTGACCGCAATCCATTACATTTAAAGAATCAAATTCAACCAGAACTTGTAGGCCTATCACTCTAGCATTAGGCATAAATAAAGCTGTGTCACATCCACATTGCTATGGTTTTACATATAGCTTAGCCTAATTCTCCTGTAAACATGTGTATGGCTGAATCCTCCTAACTGTATTTTAGAATAAAAACCTTAACAGCAGGATGGTGCTGTGCGGTCGTCAAATAGCTGCAGGACCAGACGGTCGTGCAAATTCAGTCTGATGCTAAATCAGGGATTATGGGAGTCTATGACCAGGACTGGCAAGCCATCAATCAGTAGTACTATGGGTAATCCTGTGTGTATCACCAGCCAGAGGGCAGAGAGACCGCCAGAGGAGTGTGTGGGGATTGGGTTCAACAGGGAACTGGTACCAAGAGCCCACAGTAAACTTCTCAGTCATTCTTCCTCTACTCTCTCTTCCAAATATTGAAGAGTTTCTCTAACTGTAGTTGAAGATGTTTCTGTATCCAATGCATTCACATAGGGCAGGCGAACTCACACACTGAGCCAGGCCTTGACCTAAAGCACAACCATTACCATTAAATTACCCTCAAGAGGCCCATAATATGCCAATACAAACCATATCCTACTAATCGTACCATGGCAGACAAGGGTCTATCTTTCAGAGCATGAGAGGGGGAGAGACATGAACACTGACCCAGCCTCCTCATTATAGGCTAATGCTTACTACTGCTCTACAAAACAAAACTACAACATCTCATTTATAAACAGAGCTTATTTCACGTCAGCTCGACAGTGAGGTCTCATCACCCTGTAACTCTCTACAACTGTTTCAGGGATTTCCTCGGGTTGGGATCAGCAGTGAGATTTGTGCTGCCTCACAAATCCAATTAAACATCTCCAGTTTCAAGGATTAGGCTACACTTCTAAAAGTTAATCTGTGTAAGCGGCCTAACCCTATAAACCAAATGCTCAGTCAGTGCACAGCAAACAATAAATGATCCTGAAATTCAGTGTGGTGTGGCTAAAAACTGTTGCTGGGCCAGGCTGTCACAACAATTCACATACTATAACATTGTCATAATCACATAGGCCTAGTAGGCAATGACCTCCCCTCAACCTCTCTTCATACACTAGACTAGTGGCTGGTGTGTATCAGTATTGATAATCCTTCTAACAAAGAAGGTAACCATGGTTGTGGCTGTTTCCCCATAGGCTTTGGTTGGGTAAACTACTTTAAATTTCACTGTGCACACTTCTCTTCCTACCTGACAGCCTTCTGCCATATGTCACCAAAATAGTGCAAATGGCCACCATATGAACGGAGCATCCGTTATCCTGAAGACACACTACAGTAGGCCTACTGTTAACAGAGTTTACTAACAACTAGCTTTTATGGTACATCATTTGACAGAGTAAACAAGACCACTAAAATGCAAATATTATGACTAAGGCCTAATAATAAAGGGATGTGATTAGTCCAAGCACAGCACCAACCACAGAACAATACCAAGTTCTACTGATACAATATTGATCCGGGTGTGATGTGACAAGTGCAGGTGGTTTGACAGTCCCCACACGTGATCCCCTTTCCATTTGTATTTCATTCCAACCACCACCCCTCACTCACTAATCAAGAATGAACCACAGACAATCTGTCTGCGGTGTGTGTGATGACCTGTCTGTGGCAAGCTATTGTATGAGAACATGGCCGTGCGGTGCATTCCTATGGCGCAATTTCAGCGAGGATTATTTCCCTCTCCAAGCGTTTGCCATCGTAGATAATGTCTGGAACAGCTGCGGCGCTGTCACATATGGGCGCATGATAGGCACACTGATTGACTAGTAGCTAAATGCATTAGGGCGTGCTGTTGTGTTCTCGTTGTTCGAAAAACACTCCGGCTACTTGAATTACAGATGGTGTATCACTCACCAGCTGTCTTCATCTTCGTTCAGACAATCAATTTCTTCAAGATCGAGGATGTCTACTTCATCCAAGATTGAAGTTTCCCCTTCATCCATAAAACCCAGTGTTTCCCCTGCGTCAGTAAAGTACGAATTGATGCCAGTGAAAGAGGTGGCAGCCGATGCCCCCTCGCCCTCATATGCTCTCCTGAAACTGATGCCATCATATGACAGTCTGGGGCTCAAACAACGGGAGTTTTCCAAAAGCCCTCCATAGCCACCCGTTCCACCGAACCCCACCCCAGCAGGGAAGCCGGCCAGCCCGGCCGCAGAGGCGGCTGACAGGGGTGAGTCGTATCCAGCACTAAGGGGTCTATGGTTTCCTGACACTAATCCAGACGAAGACAGTAGAGTAGACCGACTACGGAGCTGCTCGTTTTGCTGTTCGAGTTTCTTTACCAAGTCCTGCAGCTTGCGCACCTCCAAGTCCGCGTTGATGTTTGAGTTAATATCCTCCATAGCTCGCTAACTAGCTAACGTTAGCGCCGACCCAGCCACACAAAAATCCGCGGCTGTGTCAGTGTGGTCTTTCGTTTCTTCTTTTTCGGCTGGTGGTCACGATATGTGAGTCACTCTAAGCAATATTACGTTTATACTGAAGACACTTTGGTGTTCAAATAAGTTATTGGGCATATCGTCATCTTCTCCAAATATTCGTACACACGAGCAGGGTCGAAACCATTTTCACGATCCCTGTCGCCAACTGTGAAAGACATACAGGCAAGGTTACGTCACCACGTGAAACATAGGTAACGAGCACGTAACCAAGCGCGTGCATACAGTATCGATTATACCCCATTCTACTGTCAGCATAGAATATTATCATGTGAGCTCAAATACAGTACAATGAAAAGTATGGTAGTTTGTCAATGAAAACAATCACATGAGCTAACTGCTGCTCACATGTTACTTGTCAGGGACCTAGAACGTACTTTCAGGAGTTTGTTTCACCTTGCCCCAAATTAGTTAGGTATGGTCTTGCCTAATAAATCATTCTATGATACGAGCTTTTTGGTGGTACAGTCTGACATAAAGCACTGCAAAAACGTTTTTGGCTTTATGTCAGACTGTACCACCAGAAAGCTAGTATCAAAGTCTGATTTATTAGGCAAGACCATACCTTGCAAGCCAGAATATTGAATAAAATTACATTTGAACAATCTTTGTCTGCGAAGTTGGTCCTCGTTCCGATCGAAATTTTAGAAAACATATCCACAGGAAAGTATTATTTACCTGACTTTTTAGAGCCCGGGTAGGCATATTGTTAAGTTGCGTCAATTCAAATCTGGTATTGGAACAAAAAGAGGTCAATACACGTCTTCTATAATAGACTAGTATTTTAATTAATGCAAAACACTTCAATGGTAAATATGATGTTCGTATATACGGGTCCACTGAAATACCACGCAGGGCAGACAGAGAACTGGTCCATTGTTACAAGTTCTTCTTTAAATACTCTGACAGAGATAGGCCAGCAGGGAGCGGGAACTATCAGAGTAGAGACTGAGCGTGGTTTAGACTTACTCAGCCTATCGTTGGCGCACAGGCTGGTCCCAGTCCCTTGGCGCTTCACTGTTGTCAGGCGTTTAGTTGTTTTGCAACTTGTCTTGAGTCAGCAACCCCAGACATCTTTGTAGCAGAACACATGTCCTTGAGCGTTCTAACAAAGAGGCAGTGTGTGTGTATGTGAGACACAAGCCTAATCTCAGCCTACCCCCTAATGGTTCCTCACATTAATCACAGCTTGTTATGTTAAACAGTCTATATCAGTACAGCACAAACCTATTATGTTTAATCACTAATGTATTATTTCTAAGCTAACAGCACATCTAAAATATAAGAGAATAATTTCCCACAATATACACTCGGCTATTGTTTACATATTGTGCAAGTGTTTATGTCGAGTGCATCAGTAGATTGAAAATACAAACCGCCAGTTCCATATACAGACCAGCGTTCTGAAAGTCGGCTTAATAACACTTACCCGTGGATATTTTGTCTCATATCTCCACCCGAATAAGGATGAAATCAGCGAACAACAGGGTAGAGTAAGTTCAAATGAAGTTTATTCAACAATGACTTTTAAAGAGACTGTTTGGAATTTCTGACCATATATGTTAGAGAGGAGTGGGGAAGATAATTCCACAGTCGGATTCGAAAGGGGCAAGGTGTGGTCAAGTCTAGTGCTCCCCAAAATAAATGATTTTTACTGTACTCTAGGAATTTGTGTGAGGATCAGATCCATGTTACATTATCTATCTAGAGACCAGTCTACACTTGCCTTATAGACATAGGAAACAACCACATCAAAACAACCAGAAGCTGGTTTTCTTATCAAAACATTTATTTCCACTTTGTTAGAGAGAAAAGTGCTGGGAAGGGGTCATTGGCTTTACAATGGTGGCATAACTGGGACTGATTACTGCCAAAGTATAGGGTGGGGGGTTGTCGATTGTTATATTGCCTAGATGAGGTGCTGCTGAGAGTTCGAGGGCTTCCCCAGACTCCAGTTGCTACTCAGCAACCCCTGCCCCTCAGTCTCCCCCTGGCTGGCCAGCGTCTCCTCCAGGCCGTCCTGGTCATAGCTGGCGTTCTGCGACTCAGGCCGCTCTTAATGCCGCAGGTTGGAGCTCAGCTGGGACACAGAGAACAGAAAGGGACCTCAGAACGAGAGATTCTGAACCATCTAAACCAAACTACACAACAAGCCTGTTAAAGCCTTAGTAAGGGAATCCCCTTTCCATTGTCTTACCACATAGGCCACTTTCCGGATCCCACTCACAGCCACAAACTGGGCCTTCATGTTCTCGAAGTCGCTCCACTGGTTCTCCAGTACCAGCCCCTGGGCAAGGATGGCGCCACTCTGCTGGTCCAACCTGAGAATACAGATGGCACAGTCAACAGGTGACTACAGTGAAGATAAGGTTAGGGTGATAGTTGGTGTTTGATGTACAGTGCCTTCAGAAAGTATTCACATCCCTTTACTTTTTTCACATTTTGTTTTGTTACAGCCTGAATTTAAAATAGATTATATTGAGATTGTGTCACAGATCTACACAAAATACCCCATAATGTCAAAGTGGAATTTTGTTTGTAGAAAATATTAGAAATTCATAGAAAATTCAAAGCTGAAAGGTCTTGAGTCATTAAGTATACAACCCCTTTGTTATGGCAACCCTAAATAAGTTCAGGAGTAAAAATGTGCTTAACAAATCGCATAATAAGTTGCAAGGACTCATTCGTGTTCAATAATAGTGGTTAACATGACTTTTGAAAAACTACCCCATCTCTGTACCCCACACATACAATTATCTGTACGGTTCCTCAATCGAGTAGTGAATTTCAAGCACAGATTCAAGAACAAAGACCATGAAGGTTTTTCAATGCCTCGCAAAGAAGGGCACCTATAGCTAGATGTGTAAAAAACAAACAAAAAACCCCACTGAATATCCCTTTGAGCATGGTTGTAGCCATTTTCTGTAGCCTGTCAACTATGCCTCTGTCTATCCCTGTTCTCTCCTCTCCGCACAGGCTATACAAACGCCTCACACCGCGTGGCTGCTGCCTCTCTAACCTGGTGGTCCCTGCACGCACGACCCACGTGGAGTTCCAGGTCTCCGGCAGCCTCTGGAACTGTCGTTCTGCGGCCAACAAGGCAGAGTTCATCTCAGCCTATGCTACCCTCCAGTCCCTCGATTTCTTGGCGCTGACGGAAACATGGATTACCACTGAAAACACTGCTACTCCTACTGCTCTCTCCTCGTCTGACCATGTGTTCTCGCATACCCCGAGAGCATCTGGTCAGTGGGGTGGTGGCACAGGAATCCTCATCTCTCCCAAGTGGACATTCTCTATTTTTCCCCTGACCCATCTGTCTATCTCCTCATTTGAATTCCATGCTGTCACAGTCACTAGCCCATTCAAGCTTAACATCCTTGTCATTTATCGCCCTCCAGGTTCCCTTGGAGAGTTCATCAATGAGCTTGAAGCCTTGATAAGTTCCTTTCCTGAGGATGGCTCACCCCTCACAGTTCCGGGTGACTTCAACCTCCCTACGTCTACCTTTGACTCATTTCTCTCTGCCTCCTTCTTTCCACTCCTCTCCTCTTTTGACCTCACCCTCTCACCGTCCCCCCCTACTCACAAGGCAGGCAATACGCTTGACCTCATCTTTACTAGATGCTGTTCTTCTACTAATCTCACTGCAACTCCCCTCCATGTCTCCGACCACTACTTTGTATCCTTTTCTCTCTCGCTCTCCTCCAACACTACTCACTCTGCCCCTACTCAGATGGTAATGTGCCGTCGCAACCTTCGCTCTATCTCTCCCGCTACTCTCTCCTCTTTCATCCTATCATCTCTTCCCTCTGCTAAATCCTTCTCCCTCCGATCTCCTGATGCTGCCTCCTCATCCCTCCTTTCTGCATCTTTTGACTCTCTATGTCCCCTATCCTCCCGGCCGGCTCGGTCCTCCCCTCCTGCTCCGTGGCTTGACGACTCATTGCGAGCTCACAGAACAGGGCTCCTGGCAGCCGAGCGGAAATGGAGGAAAACTAGACTCCCTGCGGACCTGTCATCTTTTCACTCCCTCCTCTCTACATTTTTTCCCTGTTTTTGCTGCTAAAGCTACTTTCTACCACTCTAAATGTCAAGCCTCTGCCTCTAACCCTAGGAAGCTCTTTGCCACCTCCTCCTCCCTCTCTGTGGATGACTTCGTCAACCATTTTGAAAAGAAGGTTAATGACATCCAATCCTCATTTATTAAGTCAAATGACACCGCTGGTCCTGCTCACACTGCCCTACCCTATGCTTTGACTTCTTTCTCCCCTCTCTCTCCAGATGAAATCTTGCGACTTGTGACGGCCGGCCGCCCAACAACCTGCCCGCTTGACCCTATCCCCTCCTCTCTTCTCCAGACCATTTCCGGAGACCTTCTCCCTTACCTCACCTCGCTCATCAACTCATCCTTGACCGCTGGCTATGTCTCTTCCGTCTTCAAGAGAGCGAGAGTTGCAACCCTCCTCAAAAAACCTACACTCGATCCCTCCGATGTCAACAACTACAGACCAGTATCCCATCTTTCTTTTCTCTCCAAAACTCTTGAGCGTGTTCTCTCTAGCCAACTCTCTTGCTATCTCTCTCAGAATGACCTTCTTGATCCAAACTAGTCAGGTTTCAAGACTGGTCATTCAACTGAGACTGCTCTTCTCTGTGTCATGGAGGCTCTCCACACTGCAAAAGCTAACTCTCTCTCCACTGCTCTTATCCTTCTAGACCTATCTGCTGCCTTTGATACAGTGAACCATCAGATCCTCCTCTCCACCCTCTCCGAGTTGAGCATCTCCGGCGCTGCTCACTCTTGGATTGCGTCCTACCTGACAGGTCGCTCCTACCAGGTGGCGTGGCGAGAATCTGTCTCCGCACCACGTGCTCTCACCACTGGTGTCCCCCAGGGCTCA